TGTGGGTATGTGGCACATGCTCATTTTCATCTGGCAAGAACTTCACAACATAAATGGACAATAAATGGATTAATGGAATATATACATATATCATAATATATATATATATATACATTATAACATATTATAACATAAATGGATATTGATGGATGATGCACTCCGATTTTTGGCATGCGCACCATTAACCACATGTTGATTCAGTGTTCAGCTGGTATCCAACGATCAACTTCCACAGTGGTAGAAAAACACACCATTTTAACTACCCCAAATCCCCCTCTCTCACTGACCCTGGCTCAGTCTGGAACTTCCCATCATACATAACTGGTTGGTGGTTTCAACCCCTCTGAAAAATATTAGTCAGTTGGGATGATTATTCCCAATATATGGAAAAACAAAAAATGTTCCAAACCACCAACCAGATAAATTGTGATCATCCCCAATTGATCCTGGAAATTCTGCAACCAAGTGACTCTTTGAAGCCTTCGTTCATCTCAATCTCATCTGCGATTTCCTTTTCCTCCTCGGCACCCAGGATGCCACCAAGGATACTCGCTTGATAGGCTTCACCAATCCTGGGCACGTGGATACGGTGGTTTCTTGGTGAACATGCAGATCTTCAATGATTTTGATGCAAATCATTGTGCTGAAAAAAAAGTGATCCCAGACTTGCTCTCAAAGAACACTTACCCTCTGGTAAACTAACCATTTTCAATGGCCATTTTTAATGGTAAATCCACTATCAATGGCCATTTTCAATAGCAAACTGTTTGTTTACCAGAGGGTACACACATCCCGCCAAAACTGATGGCAAAGTCAACCTGCTAAATCAGCTATTCCCCTGCAGAATCTACGCGGCCAGGTGCTGATCTGCATCTTCTCGCAACAGCTCCTGCGGCTCAGCTGAATGGGCTGTTGATCTGTTGAAAATATTTGTTGTTACTGTTTGCCCCAAAATACTTGAATTTAGTCAAAGTTGTGGGTCAAAATGGGTTTCATCTGAACTATTTTTGACCTGCGATTTACAGTATTCAAAACTCCTATGATACATCCTACTCAACATCCATATTGGATGGTACTTACAACCTACCTAAACCAACAAACAACAGCCATCCTGGGCAGTCCTCCCAACCACCTTCCCAAAGACCATGGAAGTCCAAGTCCCATTCTACATCCTCACCTGGTGGATCTACAGAGGATTAAGGGACTTTTTCTTCACCGGAAACCATGTTTTTTTCCAACCAAATATGGGGCTTTCCTGTAGAAAAAAATCCACCAATCCACATTCAGATTCGATTCATCTTGAATCTTATCCGCCTCATGCCAGCAGGCTCTGCACACTCAGAATTTTGGAACATCGATGAAAATCACATCACTTTCAGGATAACGGAACAACGAGCTATGTTGCATCTGGACAGTTTGCCTTGCCTATAGAAGCCTTACAACTTGAGACCATCAACCACACTGAACTCAATATGTTGCTGCTTTCAACCCATTTGATGTTGTCAAAAAACAGGCGACCTCCAATGGTTTGACACCTTATTTTCACCTTACCAAGCTGGCCAGTTGATCCAAAAAGTCCGATGGAATAAAAAATCTCATTTTCCCCGGTTGGGCCGGTTGGGGTTAAAGTTTAAAGCAAGATGTTAAGCCGAAATCATCAGGGTTTTTATCTCAAGGGTTGGGGTTGAGGGGACAAAATCCTGCAGATTTTCCAACCCTGGGCCTGATGGCGAACTGGGAGATGCCGTTGAGCTGGATGCTGCTGTTGGAAAGCTTAGATCTGGACAGGGTGTGAAAATCTGGCTGCCTGAAAAAAGATAGAAAAGACACTGAGATTCTCCATGTTTATTGGGAACACACATCAAACCAAATACATCTGAAAGAATCCGAAACTATACATAGCAACTCCAAAAAGATAAAAAGAAAGTACAATCCTGCTAAAACAGTGGTAAAATAGCTGTCTATCTTTTTGGGGGTTGCTATACCTGAAAATTATACACTTACAAATTCAGGATTTGATAAAGTCGGAGGGGAAAATACACTTGTTGATCCTGTCATTTATGGATGTTTATGATACGTTCTGGTAATCAAACATGGCTAGCTGGAAAATCTCTCAGTTCGTTCAATGACTTTCCCACCAAAACCTCTCTGTTTCTGCCTCGTTTCATTACCGGAGGCTAATTTCAGCCATGTAAACCCAATTTCATCATATTTCATCAACCATCCCGAAATTTTCCCAATTGAGTGGTATGAATCATCCTAAAATGGTACCCTCTGGTAATTTAACATAGCTATGGAAAATCACCATTTTCTATGGGAAAATCCACTATTTCTATGGCCATTTTCAATAGCTTTTTGTTAGTTTACCAGAGGGTAGGTCTATGGCATTGGGTCCCACATGCTGCCGGCCCCAGCACCTGGACTCGCTGCCCCCACCACTTGCGCGGACTCGCGCAGAGCCATGGCGATTTCGACGAGAGACGAGAGAACTGGTTTCCGGAAACCGATCTGGATCTGGGTTGGTGGATGTTGGTGGAGCCAAAAACATCCAACAACGTCTGGGGAATTGAATGAAGTTGCTACAAAATGGATATGATGATATGAAAATGGTCCATGTCAGAGATGGTGAAGAGTTGATGTTGCTTCTGAAGCTATCAGGACTGCAGCAGCCCAGCTTAACAATGGCTGTCACTGTTGAAACTTCACAGAGCCGGCTTCAGCAATTAGATCTGCCACAGTGCTTTTCCTTCATCTCCCAAACTGGGAAGAAATGACAAGATTGGTCATTTTGTGCTCTCGGAGCTTTTGGAACTTGCTTTTGGACTTGTTGCCGGCACACTTGCGAGGCTCCAATAACCTTGGGATGTTGCGGGGTACTTCCTAGCCAAAAGCTGAGGTGACAGGTGCCGTGGTCAATCGCTCCCACATCCACTGACATCACTGACCTGAAAGCTGCAGAGAAGTCAACCTGGTATAGCCATGGGTAGGCGTCGGTGGCCAGGCTCTGAATGTTGGGCTACTCAGGATCCACCCTTGTGGTCGTCTGATCCCACTTTAATCCAGGATCATGGGCCATTTGGGTATGGCTCAATACGGTGCCAATCCTTGGTCCCACAACTGTTTCCGACATCCATGGATCCCGAACTGGACTCCGAATCCTTGACTCCGTAGCCTTGTCTTTGATTCCAGCTTCCATGTCTTCAGGTTCCACCTTTCCACCTGGCGGACACCGCCTATCCTCATTTCTGTGGCGTCACTTTAGAACCCCGCCAATTACGCCTTCCACCCTCTGGCAAACACGGCAAGGTTGGTTTTCCTTTGCATGGCATGAATTGCTGGAGAGTATGACTTTCTTTGTCCAACATTGTGGATTTGATACGAAATTTGGTCATAAAATAACACAGAAAACAAGGTTGTAAATCACGGAGTTTGGGGGTATCCCATTTTCAAACAAATCTATATACAGTTCAAAACTTGATGCAGATACTCTTCTAATATGACGTGGGTAAATTTTAACACACTCATGTTGACACATCAAGTCACATCAACTTATAATATTAGGCAAAATATAGTAAAGTATGGCTATGATGTATGGCTATAAGATTAGAATCAATTTTGCTGGATATCACCTAGATCATAGCAGCTACAACAACACATTCCTTTATTTCATGGTAATTTTGTGTCATTTCCAAATGTTTAAATCCCCAAAATATCTGATGAATCCTCTCCGTGAGCACCTCCAAAGGGGCCCGGGGTCTTCTGCACCAGCCGCTTTAGCAAAGCCTGGCTGAAGCCCCGGGGTCCCCATGTTGATGAATTGCCCAGCCAGGAGCCTCCATTTTTCATTCCGATGTCCCATATTTACCATGGTGTTCCGATGGTTTTCCTTAATTGAGGGATTTTCCAGCTAGCCATGTGACTGAAGACACCGGAAGGTTTTACAGGGGTAGGATCTATACAATCTATACTATGTGGAAAATTTGCCAAAGAAACATCTGGAAATCATGTCAATCGAGGTGGCAGTAGCATGCAGTAGCTGAGTCTCATACCACTTTTTCTGTAACTTTCAGTTCATGGTGCGCCCAAGACTGTTTTTTTACACCCTGCGGAGAAGCAGCCTGCATGTGAAGATCATTTTTTCCAGCCGCAATGTCCATACAAGACTTGCCTTCATGATTGCGAGCCTGGCTGCAGCGGCTTCCATGACAAGTCTTGGTGGGGAGGAATCCAACTTAGCCACCAGAAACCCGAAGGTTCTTTGATAAGCACAAACTTTGGCTCCAAAATGGGGTGCCAAAGACTCACACGTTTGGTCATCTAGCCATCAAACTAGCCAACCTTAGAACAACATGATTACAAGTATGGTGTCAATATATATATATAAGCAAAACTATATCTATCTCATCTAAAAGTCTAGAGTCCGTACATATATATATATACATTATATGTAATATATATATATATAAGTATGTATATATATATGTCGAGGACAACCCGAGCTCAGACTCCAGTGTTTCAAACCCGCCTGCAAATCTGACTTGTGCTCCACCAAGAACTCCACCACGGAACCCTGCAACCAGACATGGCCATGATAAACCAAGAAACACAACTAAAGGGCGCCACCTTGTACCAACTCGGATGCACAAGTCATCCGCCGTGACACTCGCTGTCACTCGCTGTCACTCGCATTCAGCTTTGCTTTGGGTTCATCTGACAATATGGTACCCCAAAATTTGAAGCTTGCACACCTCATTTTCCGTATTAAAATGAGCCCTTGGAGTCTGACTCTCCATTTTCATTTTAGACATAGCCACTTGGCTCCGTGACAAGGAATCATCAAGCTGGTCTGAACGAGTTCAATGCCTTCAGAACTGTCAGGAACGGGATTGGAAAAGATCAGGAAAGGCCAAAACTGGAAGCCGCCAAAGCAGGTCGGGGGCTAGAGTCTGAACATCATAATCATCGTATATACACATATCATGTAATATCATATCCTATCACAATTAGGTAGAGTTGTGATCCTAAAATTCAATCTATGATCATCTGGGTAAATAAAACATAATTCATTCACCTGAAATAAGGCTGTTGTTGTTGCTCGTTGCCCTCCTGCTACCCCCCAGCAATGCGCAAGGGGCAGCAATTGTTTCCGAAGGATCAACCGTGGTTTTCACGGGATCAGATGGCTCATGCGAGATGTAACCCAAAAAAGGTTGTGCCAAGGTTGGGCCAACGTTGGCACCCCCACATTCACATGATGCGGCATACAATGCCCCAATTCGGCATTGACAGTGGCAGGTGAGGCTGTTGCACATCTACCACTAATTACACATATCAGGCTAGCATTTGCCAGGCCTAAAACACCTGAAACTAGTTGGCAACAGCAAGTTCCAGGGATGGGTGATGGACACCCAAAAATGTAGCCATTGACTCAAGGTGACACGAGCAAACCAGAAGAAAGGAACATCTGGAAGAGCCAGCATAGAGATACATCACATAGATTCAGATGACAATCTCCACATGCAGATGTAGCTCACCCAACTAGACCAGAAGGTCATCAGTTGACGCATTCCACTGGTAACCCATGAGGAAGTTCATACCAGGACAGGCCTGGTCAATGGCATTTTCCATGGCTGCAGTCTTTTGGCTCTGGGCCTCAATTTTGGTGTCCTGATCTTGCAGTCTGGCTTCTGACGGACCTGGCAAGTCCTTCCCGAAAACTGGTGGCAACCCTTTGCTTTGCACAGCTTTGGCCCATGGATCAAAGCCTGTGGGGCCTCCAATGACCATGGTCGACTCTTGCTTCTTGTCTGACTTCAATGGCATGGGACCTTGTAGTGTGGTAAGGTGGTAAGACCAACACTCACCGTCAGAGCCGTTTGGATACCTGATTTTCACCGTTCCACCTGTGACCATGTCAGAAAGACACGGAAAAAATATGTTCTCATACATGGCAATGCTGGATCCTTCAGCAACCATCTGTTGTCCCTTCAGACATCTAATGCCGTTGTGCATGTCAAAGTCCATGTCATCAATCAACACATTGTGCCTTGGATTAATCCACCTGGTACCACTGTGACCATACTTTTCGAACCCAGAAAACAGATCTTTCAGTTTCGGGGGCATCGACCACATAGCCATTGCAAGGTGTCAGGGTCCAATCAGGGTGCTACCCATGCACCACAAGTCACGCCCCGTGGAGGCTTGGACTAAATTTTAAATGCTTACCTGAAATAAGGCTATATCAATCTATATCATGTGAAAATTCCATCATCATTCCCCTTACTCATCATGAGGTGAGATCTCATTACCCTTACTCATTCCCCTTACTCATGTGAAATCTCATTCCATATCAATCTATATCTTACTCATCATCCCAGAATTCCAGTGAGGTCCCCAGCGCCTGGGAGGCGCAAACGGCACGGTGCAGTGGCAGCATCTTCGCGCTGTCCAAGACCTGCAGATCCGCCTGGTGTGGGCCGGCATGTCAGAAACAGCCGTTTTTTGTGCCCATGATGATAGGACCATAAAATATATATATATATATTATATTATATATTATATATTATATTATATATATATATGTATGTATGTATATATATATACTGGTTGGTGGTATACCTACCCCTCTGAAAAATATGAAAGTCAATGGGAAGGATGACATCCCATATATTATGTAAACAATTGTAAAAATAAAACATGTTCCAAACCACCAACCAGTATATATATAGGACCCTAAGTTGGCTCGCAAAGTCATTCCAGAAGCCAACCCTTCTTTCCACAAGTGATAGCCATCCGGGGAAATCACCAGGCTGGCCTTGAAGTAGTGAAGCAGCTTCAAGGCAGTCAAATCGCCCTGGCCAGTGGATTCAGGGCACAATCCTGTGGGGTTGCAGCTGCCTCAGCCAATTTGGGGGGGCTCTTGGATGTTGACATTCGCTTCTAGAGCTTATAGAAAGAAAAACAACAGAATTATATCAAAACCACCATGAAAAATAAGAAAATAAGAATTATATCAAAACCACCATAGAAAGAAAAACAACAGAATTATATCAAAATAAAAGTCTTGAATTCGGATATGTTGCTTGTTGCACACAATTAGATTGGACTTCAGGTTTTGGATGGATCTAGAATCTAAAGTCCATGACTGACAATAAAATAATATGAATGATCCAACATCCCAAAGGTAAATTCCCATGTCATCACCATGGATAGGGTTTTTCCATGGGAATCGGCCAGCTTCCATCGCGCAGAAAAACGGCGCGATTCGCGAACGGCACCTTGTAAGCCGCCCAGTGGGCAGGGGTGCAGCCATTCTTGTCGCCTATGCAGCTGACCAAAGCTGATCACACAAAAAAGTTCAAATATTCTATGGCTCGTCTCCCCATTTCAGCCCTCAGAAACTCACCAAATTAAAGTAAGTAATCTATACATATATATATATATATGTATATATATATATTATATTATTATATGTGTATTCGTAGAGTATGACATATCATGTATAGCATCAATGTGTTCCTGGTAAATTTATCCTCACCAATAAGATCAAAGAAATCCAGGCCTTCGCCCAGCAGCTGAGCTTGAATGTGCTTTCCACGGTGCATCAACAACAAAATGCTCGGATAGGACCTCGGCTCCACCAGGGTTGGGAAAAAATCCCCCCCTTAAATGGCTGAAATCTGGGAAAAACATGATGGGAAAGCCCTTAGAAATTATGGATAAATCCTCTGCTTCTGAAGTTCTCTGAAAATTTAGGGAAATAACCTAAATCCCAATGGTTTAGAACTTAACTTCCCTATTGCCTATTAACATTGTCATTTTCAGGGATATATCATATCCCATTTTCAGACACAGCCATATGTTGAAATATGTGTTGACATGCAAAAATCAATGGAAGAATCTCAATTGAAGTTGCCATCCAGCTGTCGTTTGAATCGGCTTATTTTCCAGATTGTTTGCTTTGACTGACGGATTGAAATGATTGAAAAAGAGTCGCAGGGCACTAACGCAACATACTATGATTAATACTATGAGTGCTGGACTTACAAAACCTTTAGCACTACAAAATCGACATTGTACTTAAGAAAAATTGTTTACAGTAAGACATACATCGCTTAAGACTACAATAAGTTCCCAACAATATGCCCCTCGAAGCACAAATCGCCCTGGTCCCAGTAGCTTATGCTGCACGGCAATCATCAAGGCAGTTGCACCCAGGGAATCTTTTGCGGTCAGGGAAGCCTGCAAGGAGCTGCAATCATGGCTGAGGGGAGTCGGATTCCCGGTTTCCTGGTTGTTGCAAGTGCTGTAGAACTGGAATGGATCCGAAACAGGAACCACCAGTGAAGCATATTATCCACCTCTTAAAAGACCTTAGGCAGCCATTGAAATGCAGTTTTCCATTTTCTCTAGCAACAAATCGCCCTCTGGCATTCTCCATACAAATGCAAACAAGTTGAATACAAAGTGAATGTTCCTCAGCTGATTGATCTGATATCCTGGATGGTGATGTAGCCTCAGCTGATAGTCTCCCATTTAGAGATGTTTTTTCTACATTCTCCCATGCACAGGTGGGATTTCCGGGTACCAGGTTAAGTAAAGCCAGAGAGTAATGTAATGAGTAACCTCAACAGCTTCAAGATGGCAGAAAATGGTTATCACCCCTTCTTCAAAATTGCCACAAAATGTGGTCATTCCATGTTATTCCCCCGGTTTTGGACAAATCCAAGTCCACTATTCCATGCTCCAGTCCCGATTTTTTCATCCATGCTCCAATCCCATCCAACAATCGACTTGCATTAAACGTCCCCATCTGGAGGTTCAAATAGAGGTACCCCAAATCATCCAGTCGTCATGGATCGACCCATGGTGACTTGGGGTACCACCCGCCTTGGCGGCCAAGAGCTGTCTTGCCACTGCGACGTGGCCACGGAGCACGGCCCACCTCGGATCAGAGAATGCAGTCCAGTGATACAACCATCAAACATTGGGATTTAACCATCAAAAACTGGGATTTAATCATAAATAATCATAAATAATTGGGATTTAACCATCAAACATGAAGATTTAACCATCAAACATGGAGATTGAGCCATGATAAATTGTGATTTAACCTCCACAAATGAGGATTGAAATGGATTTATATAATCTGCAACAAATGGCCGCTTGACCCACCATGATACGGATCAAACCAATCAGTTTTTAGGGGATTTAACCCATGAATGATGGATATATGAGGGTCTATATGTAACCAACAATAAAGATGATGGGTGTATAAAACCAACATAAACCAACTATAAATATAGGATGCTTGGTGGTTGAAATACAACTGGCCACAACCATACCTAAATTCACTTAGATGTGCTAGTTCAACCGTACTTGCATCATCTTGTACCTGGATAATTTTGAATAAGTCGCCAGCCTGGATGGGTTTGTCTGAAAAAAAGGGTACCTCAAATAATCCCATGGACTCAACTGTATTAAATCACCCATTGTCCATATGAAAACAAACATTTTTTTGGGGGTATACACAAATTCCAAACATATATATATAGTTTTCATATACTATCAGGTAATTCCAACATCATCATCTGGTTGGTGGTATACCTACCGTACCTACCCCTCTGAAAAATATGAAAGTCAGTTGGGATTATTATTCCCATTACCCATCCCAACAATATGTAAAGTCAATTTGGATCATCCCATTTCTAGGCTAGGACATTTTTCAGATGCTTGACACCAGAATTCCAGAAGATTTCCATGGCACCCAGGGGGGATGTCAGGAAACTCTGGATTTTTTCGGTGAATGGCAATTTCGATAGGGGAAAATGATTAAAAGAACACCATGGGAATCCATGGGATCTTTGGGGTTGAAACCCATCTTCAAAGCAGGACCGAGCTCAGAGATTCACCTAGACATGGACCAAAGCCCTGAAGTCCCAAGGCTTCCCCAAGTTCCACTGAAGCTGCGCCCGGCTACGCCTCTAACCCCCCCGTTTTCAGCAGCCGACATCAGCGGCGTTTGCAGATTCTTCGCCACCGAGTCCACCTCATGGGGAAATTTCGTGGGGCTGCAGATTTAATGTACCCTTTTTGGGGATTTTAAGTTATAACTATAGTAACTTAATCCACATATGTTATACTACTACTATAGTTGGGTTATAACTTATGTGGGTTGTACTTATTGTTATAACTTAATCCATCACTAACTTTTGGGATCTGTTGGAGATTATATATCATAATATATCATATATCATATCCCTAATACGTAGTTCGGTGATGTTCAATTTGGACATTTACCAAGCCCTGATTCACCTAGCAAAATTGCTATTTTGCCAGAGAACATGGTGAATCACCGGTGAATTTGAGGGTATCTAACCCATCAATGGATTGATTTAAGGGACAATTTAAAGGACAATTTACAGGAAACCATAGTTACTACATTTTGGGGAGCTTCCTGCAACCGATTCTGGGAATGAGACATACCCTCATCCCATCCCTGGAAATACAGGTTGCTTTATAGGTACTTAATCTTGTTGGAAGAGTTCACTTTCTCCATCAAAATAGGTGGTACAACCTACAGTTGGGTATTTCTAATGCCTCAATTTGTAGTGGGGTTGGAACGGTTTGATCCTCATTGTCAGCTCATACATTCTACAGTATCCTTGGCAAGGTTCCTAGAATTGCTTTGCCGCCCGATTTCATGGTTTTTCATTACCTTGCGCTATGCTGTAGATGTCTTTGAATCAATTCGGTAGGCCGCTAGGCCTCAAAGACCTCTCCAGCGGTTCATGATTTGATGGTTTAATCCACATGTTCCACCATTTTTGATGGTTTAATCCACATGTTCCACCTTTTTTGATTTTTTTCCATCATTTTTGATGGTTAGATCCACAGTTTCCATCATTTTTGATGGTTAGATCCACAGTTTCCATCATTTTTGATGGTTAGATCCACAGTTTCCATCATTTTTGATGGTTAGATCCACAGTTTCCATCATTTTTGATGGTTAGATCCACAGTTTCCATCATTTTTGACCACAGTTTCCATCATTTTTGATGGTTGGATCCACAGTTTCCATCATTTTGATGCTTTAAGCCATGCCATTTTGATGCTGCATCATTTCCGGACATTCTCTGCAGGATTGCCCCAAAGGATGAGTCCGGAAATGTTCGAAAAATTCAGTCAGTCCGGACTCGGCAAAATATGCTGAATGTGTATCAGGTATTGAGGTTGCACGTCATAAGTACATCATGAATCATCATGACCTATTCAGGAAGTTGTATATAGTTGATTTGTTGATTTGTTAACCTATGGATAGTGAGAATATTGTAAATGGAACTTATTTGATACATTGGTTTATCTGAAAATGGAAATCCCTCAAATTGGCCATTTCAATAAAACACAACGAAACGAATACTTACATTAACATCTTTTTCTAAACCCAACATTGGATTGACAAAGTTGGGGCTTTGCCACAAAATCCGACAAACAATCTACAATTCAAACCATGATAATACCATAGAATCTTAAAAAAATAGTACACACATCTACAAGACAAACCATCAGTGTGCATCCCTGCTGGGACTCGATGAACGAGGCCGGCATCCACAAAGTCCTGGCGAAACAGGGCGAAAAGTGGCGAGGAGGAGCGACTCGCCACGGCATTGATGAAGTTTTTTTCGTGGGAAACTCAATATTGATATCTTGGGATGATTTGTTGGTTACCCTCTGGTAATTTAACGTAACTATGGAAAATCACCAGTATAAATGGCAATTTTCAATAGTTATGTTAAGTTACCAGAGGGTATCTTGGGTCTTGGGATGATTTCTTGGTTATCAGTTTTTACATCATAAAGAATGATGTGTTGGAAACTTGATTGATATAATTGAGATGAGTGGGATGATTGACACAATCCCAATCATTGATTATCACATTTACATTGGGATGATGATAGTTATAAGTTATAATTGATGATTATGGTAATTGAACATCGGGAGCACAGGGAGGATCAAAGCGTCGTAGCTATTGAGACAGGAATGATTGATAGTTAGCTCTGGTAAGACTGGGCATGGTTGATGGCTTATGATGCTTTATTATGGTTCACTATGTTTATTGTGGTTTACTGTGATCTATTGTGTATACTGTATATCTCATGAGTATTCATGAGTAACATCCTCAAATAGCCAAAAAAAATAGAACGCAGCTGCTGGAGGTCCGACGCGAAGCGGTAGCTACTGGGGGCCCTTCAAAAACAGGGGGCATGGTACAAACATAGGGAAATGACTTGAAACGATCGCCAATACATAGTGGATCTTCATCATGTTCATGGGATTTCATGTTCGAATCGACTGGTGCTTGAAAAGGAATAAACATTTACCACCATTGACAAGATTGGATCATTTACCCTCTGGTAATTTAACATAACTATGGAAAATCACAATTTTTGATGGGTAAATCCACTATAAATGGCCATTTTCAATAGCTATGTTAGTTTACCAGAGGGTAAGTGGAAAAACATACTGACAGTCATTGACTGTCTAAACCTCTGGACCTGGTCCAAAGCATCACATGTACAGCTTGGTGGTTGACCAGCAGGAGGAAAACATGGCTATCATAAGCAGCGATGAGAAATACTTTTTGGGTGTCTTTCAAAACAGGAAGACACCCAGCCCTGTTTTGGCATGCTTGACCCAACCACTCTTACCCTGTGCACCGCTCCTTGTTCCCGACCAGAGCCGCCCAATGCAACAAGCTGTGCCCATCCTGTCAGTGGAGCCATCCCACAAAATAGTCATCCGATGTAGTCATCAGCAGGAGGTTCGGGCTGTCAACACAGGTCAAAGGACAGGTAGACCATCATCCATGCACGATATATCTAAATATTACATATATGTATTATATGCATGCATGGATGGATGGATGGATGGATGGATGCATGGATGGAAATATATGGGAATATATGGAAATATATGAAAATAATGAGCAGAAATGAGCAGAATATCTAGCATTCATGTTGATCCAGCCATACTGTTACTCCTCCCATCCGAGAAGCACCTCATCTTGAGAAAGCCAAAACTCAGGATAAGCCTGCCAGGCGAAAGGGCTACAGCAGATTGCTGTCATGCCCTTGTGATTTGAGACAGTTCACACTTTCCACCATGATCTTTTACTGACTGAACACAGACATCGCAAGCAAAAGCCAAACTTAAGGTGCAACCAGTACTGATTATTATGACATATTATGACTATCTAGCTGTTCTACCCTAGGGCCTGCCCCTGAACCAATGAGGTACTGCCAATATCCGTCCCCCAAGAATTTTCAATTGAGATCATCGTTCATTGGTCATGTCCGTTCCAACGCCCATTTAAGTGTGTGTGTGTGTGCGCGTTTTTGTGCTAATAAGTTAATACATGCCAATATATGTTAATACATGTTATGTTTGTAGCTGCTGAAAGAGCTTTGTGACATTTTGTGACCGGTCCTTTTGATTTTTCCCAACTTTTGCCGCCAGCCAAGTGTGGCACAGCCAACTTGGTCTCTCAAGGGTCTCGCATTGGATTGACTCCCAGTCTGGGATGGACAACTGAAAAAGTTCGTAAAGACATACCCTCTGGTAATTTAACATAGCCATTGAAAATGGTGATTTATAGTTGATTTTTCCATTAAACATGGTGAATTTCCATTGTTATGTTAGTTTACCAGAGGGTATCAAGACCACCAATAGAGCTACATCCGTTTCAAGATTTTGCATCAGAAATGGACACTTGAAACTGAATAGACCACCTGCGCAGAACCAGGCGCAATTTCAGTTTCGAACTGCACAAGACCCTCGGTCTTAGCCGCCTTGGCCTGCCAAACGTCCCGGTGGCCCACCGAGGGAAGCTGTGTCACAACATGTCACAACCAAAGTTCCACGGTGATTTGCATCGCCTTCGAAGCAAACTTTGAAACTTCACAGTCTTCAGCTGGTAGGCAAGCAGCTCTGCAAGCATCTTGACGGCCTCATTGATGAGCCCTTCAACTTCTGCAACTCCACAGGACGTGCGCACAGCTGCACCTGGACCATCTGGGAGACCTCCTGGTGGAGCGCTGCAAACCACGATCGAATTCGCCTGCCCAGACATCACCAATGAGCCCGCCTCCGTCCACACAACCACTCTTCCGCCGAGGAGTAGGATGGGTGTTGCTGCTGAGATCGAGGTGGCAATACGAGCAACCTCCAGCCCTGGCAAAAGCTGTGCTTGAATGTCCTGAGTCCAGGGATTCCAGGGTCAAAATATTGAAGTTCTGCTAGGTTGAGCATCCCCCATTGCTCGCCCGAAGCAGTCAGCTTCCTAAAGATCCAAACAAAATGATCCACTGAGGACCTCATGGAGGCGCTCAGCCTGCTCTGCAGTGACTGCTGCTCTTTTTGCGGTCCAGGCTCTGTCAAAATCTGGTGCCCTTGGATGAAACTTGTTGGGAACGTGTGCAGCCAAGCTGCCATATCGTACCTGCAGTTGCAGGTCCAACAGCATGGCTCGTCTTCAGTGTAGAGGAGGCGAGACGAAGGACGGAAGCGAGACATCTTGCCGGTAGAGAAGCAGCAAAACAAGGGGATAGAGATGGATAGAGGGTTAAAGAAGAGAATAGTATTTTCTTCTCTGGTCCTCCATCGCTTTGTTATGCTGCTCCTCTACGGTGCTTCAGTTCGAGCACTGCGAAGGTCATCACAGATGATTCTCTCAAGATCTGCCAACGTTCCACTGGGCAACAGGAAACTACAAATAGCTTCACCACTGAAAGAAGTCGTAATGGTCACAGAGATATCGCCATTGCGCAATGGGCTTGGCAACAATGACGCGGTGAGCACAGTTGCCATGATCCAAATATAATTGAAGCCTGGAGCAGGGACTTCGAGCCAAAAAAAATTGCCAAATCCATGTGCTGCACAGGAGTTAAAAAGCAGTGACCATTGGTAACGAGGCCAAAAAAGACATCATCGAAAAATGCCATTCCACCTTGGGCTCAAATAAAACCCCGCCTCTTGTGGTCGTTAAATGACAGGACAATGGTTGAAATTCAAGATCCCAAGAAATGGAAAGGAGTCACAGTAAGTAAACCACTGAAACCAGATATCATGGTATATCTGATTATATCATATTATATCTGCATAAATTAATTAAACAAAAACACTAACCTGAGGCCATGTTAGGATAGTTGCCCCAATCCATTTCCATCATTCCAGTGAGATGGTGACTTCAGGCCTTTACAGCAGTATAATGTATGATATATCATCTACCCCCAAAAAAGGTCCACGAATAGCCTCCAGGAGCTTCAAAGCAACCTCAAAGTTCTGCTGCCTCCGGAGTTCCGGTACTGAAGACATAGATATTGTTGTTTTTCCTCTGAAAAAATGGAAGAGATGATGACTTTGCCATTTGTTTTTGCCTGTTTACTGTGTACGTGTTATTCATGGGCTTTTCCTCTCATGTGATGGGAGATTTCACCATGAACACCACTAAGATGCACGGGATTTTCTACGGGAAAAATGACGACACGTCAATTTTTTCCAAATGTTAAAATGTAAACTTACTAGATGTTGAAGCCGTAGATGCCAAACAAATCACCAAGATTCACCCAGAAGTCAGGGGAGGCTACTACCAACCAACACTGGGTATATAGGTATAATATAGGTGGGTGTACTTGCAAACGAATGCGAACAGGTTGCTCTTTCTAATTGAACCATTCACCACCAGCCTGAGTTGGTCTGAAAATGGGTGTTTTTTGCGTATACCTCGAGATATGACCACCATCAAATAATCGGGACGGACAGTTATGTTCAAGACCAGTGGATGGCCACCTGTTTTGGGGAAACCATCATGGCTCAGGCATGGAACCCTGAACTCTTGTGTCAACTTAAGGATGGAGATTCCCGCGCATTCAGCTGCTTCTACCAAAGGGCCAACATCGCACTGCGATCGTCAAAGGCCATCTACAACAGTCGACTTGAACGAAATACGATGGCTGTGTCCGTTTGAAGCAAGGACCAGTGTGTTTCATCCCAAAACAACGTGAACGAATCCACAAGGCTTTGTCTAAAATAGGCTACCCGTAAAAGCCTGTGGTATATAATAATCTTCCACATCCAATGGCCATAAATCAGGTTTGAATGGTTTAAATCCCCTAAAAAAATGATAGCAACCCAGCCCTTTTGTTCATCCAAGTCTTGGATAAGTCTTGGATAAGTCCCACCTGGCAAGCAAGAAGATATCCTCAGCCTTGGGACCTAGCGAGGCCTGCGCAGCTGGCCCCCGATTTTTTTGGCGAAAAATGACGAGGCAAGTGGTTCAGCAACTTAAAACCACTTGCAAAATAGTCCATGTATTGGATTTTTGATGATTATTGTATACAAACATCTCAGAATTCGTGGGTACCTTCAATGTATTCATTGTTGAGCCATCGAAATGACCTCTGAAACATTTCACCCACTACCCTGGTGACCAAAATCGATCCTGGATGGGTCCAAGTTGGGAGTCCCCGCCTCCTCCAACTCTTCGGGCTCAGCTTTGCCTGGGATGTGGCTGAAGGATCTGCGAAAGGAACCAGATCAATCATACAATACAGCAGAAGTCTACAGAAAAAAACACATGTGAAAGACCTTGGAGTTGATGGAAGGCTTGAGCCCTCAAAAAGTTTTCCTATGAAAACTGTGCAATGGCCAAAGTTACCCAATGTTACCCATAAGGTCCTGCTCTTTCTTGAATTTACCCTCACCATATATGTTCTCCATAGTTTTGATTGCTTCAGCAGCAAAGCAAACAACGCTCTATCCTGTACTTCAAACAGTATCACAACCCGTGCCATGCCATGTCCATCATTTCCTGCATCAAAATCCACAAGCGCCCCATTTGGCGCCCCAACCTGGTTTGGCGGCCACCTCCGTCGCAGCTGCTGGAAGAGCTGGAAGCTCCGGCGGAGATGCCTGCGCTGCCTGCGCCTTCAAGGGCGAAGCTCCGGGGATGCTTTGGAAGGGCGACTTCAGCGGAGTCTTCGACGGCGTCCCATTGGGCGACGTCTTCTTCGGTGCCAGTGGTGGAGTGGTGGGCACTTCGGGGGGCACGGCTGGGATGGAGACCCGATCCGTGTCGGCGTCGTCCTTTGGCTCCGGGATCGAAGTGAACTTCAAGGGAAGCGGGGGCAAGTCCTTGGACGCTTGAAACTGCACCGGCATCAACATGGTGGATAGTGGATAGGTGTCCCATTAATGTCATGACAACCTGAACATCGGGACATGGGTTGGTTGTTTTGCCGGACCACAGAAAGCTGTATAGGCCATATCTACCGGAAATTTGGCAAACTGCTTGTTGGTCCCTGGGCCTCTTGTATCCACCATATCGACCCAGCAAATCATCACAACAGTGGGGAAATCCTGTCTTCCTCCGCATTCATCGCAGCAATAACTTTTAAGTGAAAATAACATCTTGACTTGGAAGTACGGTTCCCAAATGGCACCGCTCAGGTCATTTCCCACAGCTCACGAGTGAAATACATTGCACTGTTGGGACATCAACTATAGTACTACTAGGCACAAATATATACCAAGCCACTCCAATGTATCGAACCACTTGTCAAACCGCTTGAATTCAAGGCAGACTGGACGATTGTGCATGGATGTCATCACCTGCCCTGCTTGGGATCCCGACGTCAGGCTGAACTGCGGTCGTCATCGGTCTCCAACAGAACAACAAACGTTACACAACTGGAACAAGAACCGAAAAGCTCCAGGCAGGGTATGCTGTTGTCCAAGTTTCAGCGTTTGCAGGGAACTAATTGTAAATCATGCAATCAGTAATTTATGAGAAAGGCGATGACACTGCTACATTATCCTCCCTGATATTGGAGCTGTGCCATAATCCTTTCGCAAATGCTTAACAACTTTCTTCGCATTGACAAATCGAGCGTTCGGACACAACACGTCCAAAGCCGAAGTTTTCTGGGTACATACGTTGACTCTTGACAACACGCTCACTAGTTGATGCTTTTCTTTTGCATGCAACAGTATCTGTGACATTCAAACATCTTTGCTCCCAATATTTCCCAAGTCCATTTTTTTGTGGAAGTGACATCAACTCATTAGCCTCAAATTCCCTTGCCATGCGTTCGAAACATCTCAATAATACAGGACCCTGCGATTAACTGCCATTCCCACTTAGACTTGATTTGAATTCTTGCCAGTAAAGGCCGTGGCAGCGTCTCACATTTTAAGCGCCAAGTAGATTGTTCGAGCAAACGTGGCAAACCAGCTACTTTGAGGTCCTTGAGTCTTGTGCAAGGCCCCTCTCGTGCAGGGTTGAGGAAAACATGGCACCCCCATACAATGATTTGTCCAGGGATACCCCAAAATTGAAAATTTGATACAGAAAATGATCATCAACCATCAAAAAATTGAGGATAACTTGTTTTCAGACCGATCACAATTTTCCTCGACTCATGCTGCAGCGCTCACGAAAGCCAAAAGTCTCGGATTCGCAGACGGGCAGAGTAAACCAATGCCAGCTAGATAAATATATCTATATATATTATATTATATATATATACAGTGTATATATATATACAGTATATATATATATACAGTATATATATATACAATATATATAAATATGGTATCAGTATCAGCATGTATTAGCATGTATTATTAGTTACCTATGCCTCCAAAGACCCGGTGAGAAGGTGGAGCCACAACCCGCAGTCTTGGAAGGGGTTTGGAGCACTAGGGTATGATGGAGATGCTAGTTGACATTGTCCAACTATAACGGGGAAAATGTATGAAAATGCTTCGATCAACAGCTGAGAAGTGCTGGAAACCCAAAACTCTTATATAAAAAAATAGGTGCCTTGCCCTTTTCTGGTCAATTAAGAATTGATTCCCATCACGGTCCTTTTTGGCAATCCCCATTCAACCAGTTCCGATAATCCCAGGTGTGTTGTATGCATCATTTCTCAATTTCATATCCCTTATCCCCCTCTTGCTGGTCAATTTCCATCACTTCTTGTTAGTTAAATTCCCAATCCACTCAATCCAGTTAGTTCTGCATGCCAAGCGGCCCAAAGATCAGCCATAATCCTGAAGCATTCCGAAAGTCACACCTGGTTTCCCAACCGATTTTTTTTTCAGCGGAAGTTACCACCGAAATCCCTAATCAAATTCCAACAGAAACGTCGCGCACACTGTTCCCTTAGGCCACTGAGTGTCACATCCCAGCACTATTCGCCACCCCTGGTGAAAGTTGCAACATCAGTCAATGTTTGTGGAGTGTCATCCAATGTGTATTTGTCTTTTTTTAACAAGCTCAAAAACAAGCTAGTTCATGTTGTGGTTTTATGAGTTATATGATTAATTGGTTCATGTCGTGATTTTATCGGGTGCATATCTATATGTATATAGATAACCTAGTATTCCATCGATATACAAGCTTGTATCCCATAAATCACCATGTTTTAATAAACATATTCTTCTAACCTAGGTCTCAGTTTCAAATCCCATTATATACTATGCTTATATACCTCCCAATCGATTTCAAGTACATGACGGCCTGGTGCTTTACATCTCGCCAGGGAGGTGATGTCTGCAGCCATCTTCTTTACCTGGCAGTGGGGTACCATTCTGGACCTGCAATATACATATATATATATACTAAGGCACTACCAGATAGAATTTTTTCCAGTGTTCGGGGATCGACGATTTTGCGGGTGAAACCTGGTTTGCAGGTGAGAATATTCTATCTGTTTAAGATGAGTAGCAAAATGTTGATTTCGCGTATATATATATATATATGTGTATATATATATATATACGAAATCGTTGATATTTTGAGCTTATAAATTATGGAAATATATCTCCAAATCTACATGATTTTAAGCTGAACTATTCTATCTGTTGGATCCGTGTATATATATATATACATATACATGAAGAATGAACATCAACAATTTCAACAATTTCATATTAGTATGTTCATCAAAGAAGGAAACATCACTGGTATACTTATATATATATAACCAAATATGTGCACTATATATATAATATATATATATATTAAATCATCCTGAAATAGATAAAATATGGATATTTCATGATATTTCAAAAAACAACTTGAAGAATGGAACTCTTATTGATTTTGTGATATTCTATCTGCTTCAGGATGACTCTATAGATATATACAATGGGAATACATGGGATATATTGGGGATATAATCAATATAATAGGGATGTAGAACATGATATAACGGAGACAATTCCCATATCCAATTGGGATGTCATGATGTCATGGGGATACAACATCAGAATTCTCCATCTTTGGATCATTGGAGATGATATATCCTACCCTCTGGTTATGTCAAAATAGCTATTGAAAATCACCATTTATAGTGGTTGTTCCCATTAAAAATGGTGATTTTCCATAGTTATGTTAGTTTACCAGAGGGTAACCAGTGCATTTTTATTTGTTATCCATACATCCAGTGGAATTTTCCATCTACCCGCAAGAAAATCTTGGATCTGCCAAACTTATTCTGAACATGGACTTTCGATTTAGAAACGTCCATGGAATCTATTTTGTGGTGGTTATACAGTATGGGCGTATAATTTTGACCCATACCACCCATAAAGAAATGGAGATACGTAACATGGGAACGCCGCCAAATCAATAGGAAGAAGGAGAATACCACTATCAAACACGGACCCTTTACAACTTTTTAATGCGTTTTAATCACCAAAAGTTGGCTTAACAGTGAATCTATGTAAATCTCCCATGAGGGAATCATATTCCATTGCCATGTTCATTCACAGAAGCTGTTGGCCGCTGTCCACTTAGAGCCTATGCACAAACCTTCCCCAGTAATTAAGATCATTGATGATGGTCATCACTCTCCCAACCAATGCGGGAATGTGGGCCCATTGTGGTAAGGCCTATCGATTTTTAAGTAGCTGTACAAGGAGCCTCGAGAACAAAAGGTTCCTTTGAAGAAGTATGTTCCGTGTCTTTGTGAATACCTATTAGCAGGACTTTCTTTACGCGCTAAATGTTGAGATACAGTTAGATATTTTGGAGTATTTTGGGGGGCACAGAGGACTGCCTCAGCAAACTTGCGCAAACCATGTGAAAGTTCTAACCCTCCATCTGCCTCTGGCAGCCAAGCAGAGCCTAGCACCATATTTCAATGATCCAAGGATGGATCCCTAACTTCGATCCCGCAATGTGGATTTGGGGTCCTCGATTTTCTCATAGCATCACCATTTGGTAATGTGTTGTTGTTCGGTATTCCTTCAATATGATATAATGCATGTTTATCATGTTTACCTATGGAGGGTGTAAATCCCTTTCCCGGCCCTGTCACCCAGAAGAACCAATGCTCGAGTGCAAGTGGTATTTGATCCATGCATGATCTATCAATAGTTGAGACAGGAATCAACTAAATCCAATGCACTGTCCGTCAATGTCCTCAGTCATATGCCCCGGAGCACTGGCAAAACCTGCCCATCTGTCCTTTCCTGGTCCACTTGTATATCACAGGGACCACCGTTTTGTCATATTTTGTCAATGCCCTACCAATCATCTTTCTCCAAAGCACTGTCTTCCAAAGGGATCAAAAGGAATCCTGAAGTACTGAGTACTGAGAAACTCTCAACACAAGCATTGGTCCAAGTGGCTGCCAACGTCTAGTTTTTTCCTTCAAAACTGGAAACCATTTCGAGTGTCTCCGTCCAAGACCTGCTCCTGAGGATCCAAGCGTTTAAGTAAGCTCTGCCTGACAGATGCTACAGACGATTTCAACCCCGGGTGCGCGCTGCAGTGAAATGGATCTTACAATGGTGTAAAAAACAATGGGAGCACTATATACACAGCAATGGTTCACATATTTGGATACTATATATATATATATTTGGAACATGCGACTTTCATACACTTCAAAGCTGTCTTAAAGGTATGAAACGAGGATCCCTCACAAACTTTTGCCAATGATTCTATTACTAAGCTTCACACCTGTTGTCTGGAATGGTGCAGTCAGACCTGCAGAATGACCGTGGTTTCAGCGAGCGACATCTTTATGGACCAACAGCATGACCACTCTTACCGCAAGAAGCTTCATCACCCATGGCAAGTGATTACTTGTGGATTTCGGATATCTCACTTAATTAATCTTGATCTTATTCTTGGCAGGGCTGTGGCTGCTTCCTGAGACAAGGAAGAAGCGCCGAATCGTTATGTTCCAATTACCTTATACTATATTGCTTTTAATTGCTTTCCAATTGCTTTTAATTGCTTTTAACCAACTAAACAAATGACGATTCACGGAACCTTTCGAGTTGCTGGATTTTTCGGCAGAAACCAACACGAAACCCCCGTTGGGTCCGGTTGCTGATCTCCATGCATGGCAAACACAAAACACCTGCCGCAAGCGGCGCAAGCGCAAGCCAGCGCTGGGAACGGGAACGGGATTCCCCGGGCAGGATTGTGATATTACCAAATATTAATGATTAGTATTATAATGGGAATATTTGGGATAATCAATAATTATTGATAATGATATTAATAATATTGGGAATAATTGGATGGGGAATAATACCAAATATAATGATAATATTTGGGAATATCAATGATATTAATCCTTAAATAATTGTCAAATAATTATTGTCATATTCATATTAACCAAATGATATCAATAATTGGGAAAATCATTAATTATTTGGGATAAACATACTATTCCATGATATTCCCAAGAATCCAATTAGGAGAAAATGCCCGATATCTAGTTTAATCATCAACCAGCCGGGGTTTTGAACACTGCTCAAGTCGTGCGAAGCGGTAAGGGTTCACTGATTTTGCAATGGGTCGCTGGCAAGGAACGCCTTAGGTTGAATTAGTTCCACAGAATCGCAGCTTTCCTAATGCAATCCTTTCGGCCATCCAAAGCCGCAAGTCTGTCAACAACCTACCGCATTCTCATCTCTCTAGAGAACATCTGTCAAATGACAATTTGATCACCGTTCATGTTGTATTGCAAAGTAGAGGTCGTTGGTCCGTCACCTGACGAAAATGACTTCAGTATATTCTGAGGTACAATCGCACACTTCCTCACACATTGACACGTGGCCCTTGCCCAATCACTAAGTTCAACTAAATGTGAGTAAAGCAATAATAAATCACCTATATAAATTGATGGCTTATACCACCCATTTATGGTGATTTTGGGGATGGTGGATCAGTGGATCCTATTGCTTTAACTTTAACCACATTACCACAAAACCTCCCGACCTGAATCGCTGCAAATTCTCTGGCTGCATGAGAGCTTCTGTCATGCGCAGGTAAGTGAGGGCAAATAGATTCTCCTGGAAATCTGGTCAGCTTGCTGCCCTGGCACCAATAGGAATCTTCCCCCAACCCAGATGTTACCCTCTGGTAAACTAACATAACTATGGAAAATCACCATGTTTAATGGGAAAATCAACTATAAATCACCATTTTCAATGGCTATGTTAAATTACCAGAGGGTACTTGTTTGATTCATACAGATATGGTCATCCCAGGTTCATCCCATGTGCACCAGGATCTCAGCTCGTCAGCGAGTCGTTTCGTCGTCGTCCTTGTACACCAACATTTGGTCGTACGCGGATTGGTCATATCCTTAGGATCGCCATCATGAACATGACCGTCAGAGAGGGATAGATGGTGGACATACTATCAAACATGATCAATCCGAACATAATGAAATCTACATGTCTTGCATTTTCAGGCAACAATAACGAGCTGACAAGACCTTGCTGATACAATCTTGCATCTCTCACCCAGGTTGATGCTGTGCTATTAAAATGGGTACCCCCAAATAACACTGACCAGGCGTTATAACATTAATATCGGGATCAAAAAATAGGTGCATATTTGTGTTAAGACAAGTGAGGCATATCTACATGTTTACCATTATATCATGAAAATAGGACTCTTCACCATCACACTCCTTTACCACCAATGAAAAACACACATATCTCTGATTACCAGTGTTTTTTATTCATATCTGAACATGGGGATGGTGTTCTTCAGCCTTTTTTTTGATGCGTAACCGGCGTAACCATCCCCATGGTTTTTAGCACCAACCATGAACCGCCCAGCGTCGTTGCAAGGCGTTCTCCCCTGCGAAGTGCAGTCCCGCTGCTTCGGCGGCCTCAAGGGGGAGACGGACATGTTGCCAAGTTACATATGCAACATACATGCAACATACATATGATATCACAAATTGCGATCATATGTGAAGAAATAAGTAGAAGATAAAGGAATGCATGTGTATATATATATATATTTATACGCATATAAACACAGAATGGGAGGGAGAGGGAGAGAGAGAGAGAGAGAGAGATGTGTGTGTGTGTGTCCATCTATGCGCAACACATATTGATAGGGTGACATGAAGGATCAAATAAACAGGGAAAGAATCAAAAGTCAAAGGCCCAAGGGGTGAGGCACATGCCACACACCTGATCCCTTGAACCAGTGTCACCACCCAAAATGGCACGTGAAAAATATCATCTCATTCAACACATGTACTCGAATATCGTACATGTACATGTCTAATTACTGATATGGGATTGTCTTTAAACAGAGCGCCCCAAAATCTCATGGTCCATCATTTTTATACATTGGAAGAGTTCGGGGTCTCCCCTATTTTCAGATATACCATATACCCACATATATATCCCACATATACAGTATCCAAACACTTTATGGTGTGCCCTGTTGTGCCCTCCTGCCAATCCTGTCAATTTCGCCCCATCCCCCACGGTCCACAAAGGGTGTTTTGTCCTGTCATCCTCTGGTTCACCCCTGAAAAGGCATCTCAAACACCCGAACGGTGCACAGATTGATGCAGGGCGATTTCCCAGCGGTTCCAGGTCGCTCATGTCGACAACGGCGAAAGCTGGAGAGCTCCACAGTCACAGGGATTTTTATTTGATTGGCATCCTTAAAAATCCACAGTTCAACCCCTTAGACATCGCAATGATATACCACAAAACTATGCAATGGGGCGAAGCTTTGCGTGTCAGCTTCTTCTGTGGGAAGGAAAAAGGGGAAGATTCGTCTCCAACCTCGCAGGGCGGCCGATGGATGGTTCATTGGCCCATTCAGAAGCCGCAACAACGTGGCAGTGGCTGTCTGTGTTTGACGGATAGGAACGTACGTAGGAATCCCATAGCAATCTCGAATCATTAGCTTGGTTTGATATGGTTTAATTTGTTTTTCCTTTAAAGGAAACCGTGGTTTTGACATGTTTTGACCATCACATCAGGATTTTTCCTGCACAGTTTGCTGTCATCCAATTCACCTATGACAGTCGTCCTTCAAGCTTCAAGTGCAGATCATCAGTCGGTAGGATGGCAATAACTGTTCAGACTCAGACTATTTGAGATCACCAGTTATAGGAGCCAAGCTTGTTGCAGCAAGTAGTCTAAATGAAACAGCAAATCCATGATTTTTGAAATGAGAATTTGGAGTCAAGACTTTTCATTTCCTGATTTTCTCAAGAGGTTTGTCACGTCTATTGTTAGTCTGTCCTTGGCAACCACAGATGGCCATTTGCTCTTTAAAGCTTCAAAAAGGAAACAGGCTGTACACATGTCAAATGGTTTGACATCTCGGCAAAGAGTTTTCAAATTAACGTTCAGTGTCATGCCCCGACCTACACGAGTGCAGCAAGGCACAGCGTCGTTGCTTCCAATTCAAATCACGTCTGCGTCACGTAGAAATTAACCAATCGAGACTGGTCCAGCCCTTAAAAAAAAATGACCACAACCCCAGTTGTTGAATGGAATTTTTGATTCATGGTCAAAACTCTTTGAAAAGTGAGACAACTTGTGTTGGATTGAATCCTGCGGTGGGAGACTATTGCCATGAAATCTGCGGTTGGATTTGATATCAAAGGCTAAATCCATGTCAATGCCACAGGATACACATGTGGCATGGTTTGGAACACTTTGGAACTATATTCTTGACATCCACACTCTACCTTCCAGAACACATGATGAAGACAAAAAACAGGTAGTAAAGGCCGATACGGCCGAGGGCATCACATGGCACTAGTTCTTTTCAACCTTGAACGAAAACATGGCTCATGTCAATTGACATTAGTTGGTATCGCCAAAATCTGGGTACCCCAAAATGGGATAGCTTAATTCAATTATTAAAGAACATAAAGAACACACACAAACTATATATCCTTGATGTACCAGTGACACCATGCCTGCGTTTTCCACTGTGCAGAGTTTCTGCTGCGGCAGGGTTCCCGAGATCTACCGCCTTGAAGCGGATCGCCCGGGAGCCATAAAAAAGGCCGCAACCAGCCATCAGACTTAGCTGACATGGACTTAGCTCTGCGCGGACACAGGGATTTTCCGGGAAATCCAATCAACATGAGGCGTGAAACATGTGAAACTCACTCCAAAATCTCCAAACTCATGATCAAGATTTTAGATGACATCAATGATTTTGGTATCAACTTGAGTGACATAATTTACTCTTGCACAACTGGCCTTCAACTATAGTCGTGTTGGTTCCCACCCTGGTCCCCCCAAAAGGGGCGGCAGCTACCCCATTGGGAAGCCACCTTTAGACATCTTAAACTTTAACGCCTTCCCACCCTCACCCCGTTGATCCGCGCAGCCTGGAGAAAGACCTGGTGGAGTCTCTGGGTGCCATCTGGGCTTCGTTCCACCAAGCTGTGACGGAGACGAGTCACTTACCGTTCGCCCATGTTTGTCGGTATACCGGTATAGCCTCTACAATGGGGGGGGTTCCCAGTTATAAGATGGTTTATAAACCCCATTAACTATAGTTATAGGTACCATAAACCATAGTTATTGGAGTTATAAACCAACTTAGCTATCGAACGGGGGCCCCACTTTGTAGTAGTTTAACCTGGCAACTCGCCATTTTATGACTATCAATCGCCTGAATGAGACAATTCGACAGTTTCTCCACTCGAATCAGCATGTTTGATGCCAACAAATCTCAATTGTTGGTGGCAGAAGCCAAATCTTTCGTGGTTACCCTCTGGTAAACTAACATAGCTCTTGAAAATGGCAATTTATAGTGAGTTTTCCCATTAAAAATGGTGATTTTCCATAGCTATGTTAGTTTACCAGAGGGTAACATCTTGAAACTCTATACTGCTATACTCTTCTGATCTTGATGACAAATCTTCATCTTTAGATGGCAACATTCCACATGCACATCCCATTCCCGGCCTTCAGTGAGCTGGGATAACCTCTTGTAAAGCCTTGGAGAAACCCAGGGGAAATGTTGGCTTTGAGCTATGACAAGATTTAACTGATTTGGCTTTAACCATTACACATCCGGATTAAGAAAAAACTGTTCGGGACTTGAACCTGATATTTCGGAAGCTGTATTTGAGGAGCTGTGGTTTTCGGCATTTGAACATATGATTGAAATCTATTGATTTTTTGGGACATTAAAGCCACATCTTTTGGGATATGGATTCACAACTTGGGGTCCATTTTCACGGCTATCTTGGGTGTGACAGCACATTTTGAGAAAATCTTCTGCGTCTTGGGGGATGATCACCCCATGAGGATCAACGTCCGATGGCCACCATCCTGGGGTCCATGGCAAAAGAATCATTTGGATCCATCAACATGAATGCAGAACAATTATTCTACAATATATAACTATATATATATGTATATATATATATTATTGTACAGTACAGTAACAATAATTAATGAGGTTCTTCTTGAACTCCTGAGAAACCCTGTGTGTAACAAACTGACCTCCATCCTCCCGTACGCAACACTGGCCTCCAGCGTATGGGAACGCTGAAAGTCTGGCATGAAAGAGGCATAAAAGGCTTCGATGGGCCCATCCTGTACAGTGAGGTCAAAAAAAACCCTCTGCTAATCAAACGTGGCAATGGAGAATCCCGATCAATGGAGGTTTAAGTGGGAAATCTGTGAAATTATGTGAAAAAAAAAGGGCAGATGTTAGTTCAATCGCCGCTTTTGATTACTAGAGGGAACATGCAATTCCGCCCCAAAAGAAAAAAAAACACTTCGACTTCTTACCCCCCTGGTAATTTAACATAGCCATGGAGTACACATGGACATTCTCCATGGCTATGTTAGATTACCATTTGAGGGGCTGGACCATCAAGTCTGGGATGATCCAATTACCCTCTGGTAAACTAACATAGCTATGGAAAATCACCATTCTTAATTGGTAAAACTATAAATGGGTCATTTTCAATAGCTATTTTGACATAACCAGAGGGTAGTTGGGTGATGCCCAGAACTTGCGCGTTTTCAAAACGCCCCGGAGCGACCCAGCTCCTGTTTGGCAGTGGCAAAGTATTTCATGTACCAGTCAGTGAACTCCTGGCCGAAGTTCACGCGGGCGGTCCAGCTTTTCCCCAGCCCGGTCCAGCATTATTTATATATATATATATATATATATTAACCATGTTAACCACGATTCTTAAATATTATTGTGCATATATATATAAGACCTACTAACCATTATTAACCATGTTTAACCATTATTAACCACTATTATTGGGATGATTTGTTGATTGTTAACCCTGTTTTCCTTTCCGCGCTCCTGAAAATCCACGGATCCATTCTGATCGCGATCGATTTCCTCAGGCCATATCTCGATGCCCCGGCTGGAGATTCGATCGACTCACCAATAGGTCGATGCAAAAATGGGAAAGATACCCTCTGGTAATTTAACATAACTATGGAAAATCACCATTTTTAATGGGAAAACTCACTATAAATGGCCATTTTCAATAGCTATGTTAAATTACCAGAGGGTACCAGGATTTTAAAAAAACATGCCACTGGTTAACAGGATATGTTTTTATGGTGGTTTATTCTGAGAAACCCATGGAAATTTAGGAGTGCCATTAGGTTTGAAAAACCTAATACATATTAATCCTCCAAGCAGATCAGTGCCAGAAGTTCATGGCTCCAAATGGTAAGATTGGGACACCTCTCAACACAAGTGAGATTGAAGATTGCAAATGTCCATACAGAAGGAACCCTTTGGAAATCAAACCTGGCTGGAAAATCCCGGCTGCTCGATGAGTTTTGCAGTTAGAAGCAACTGGCCAAACCTTGATGGAAAGTGGTGGGCTGACAGTATACAAATAATGTCTGTGAGCTTACCAGCATGGCTGACCTTATATATATATAATAATAATTATTGTTATTATTATTATTATTTATTGTTTTTATTATTAATTTATTATTATTAATTTATTATTATTAATTTATTATTATTAATGTATTATTATTATTATTATTAATTTATTATTATTATTAATTTATTATTATTATTTTATTATTAATATTGTTATTATTATTATTATTAATTTATTGTTATTATCATTATTACTATTATTATTATTATATATATATAAGTAAAAACACAATTAATATTGTCTTATATGGAGGTTTCCAATCCATGGGGGTACCCCCAGTTATCCCCATTTATTTTTGGGATTTTCCAATAGAAACCATCGATGGCTATCCCACATGGTTCACCTGGCCAGGCCACGTGCCAAAAGCGTAGGATCCGGTTCTTCGGCAGATCCGAACGGGTGGAGCAATGAAGCAGCTGGTGGATCATGTGCTCAAACTCCAGGAAGTCCTGACAAGTCCAAGCGCCCTCAGAAAAGATCGCAGAAAAAAAATCTGGGGGAAGATTGAAGAATGATTGAAGAATGGAGAATGGATGGGGAATGGATGATAAATGATCGAACAGGAATTATGAAATGATATTTACGTCGGGGTGTGTATAACTATGGGAGTTTAACCTCCAAAAGTTGGGATAGAACCCAAAAAAAACATCCTACAAGTATATGGTTATCAAGTACCAATAAATCATCGAAAGCGAAAACGTTATTACTGGATACGTGATTTATTAAGAAAACATGACATCCTATTTAAGCACTGGTTCCCATTTGGTTCAGTGATTTAGAAAAATCACCAAAATGGGAACTTAGAATTGACCGGGAATCAACATGTCACAAAGGTCAGAGGTTTGCTCACAAAACAATGGGACAATGGGAATGTTTGCAAACAAACTCACGAGATTGAAACCCAAAGGATAAAAATCAAAGTATGAAAGAAAACAGGACGGTTGTATACGATCAGAAAAATGGATTGAAGCAACAGTTGGATCTCCTGTAGAGTTCAACCAGTTCAACCAATAAACCTGGGGAGTGTATCAACTGCATGGATATTCACTTGTCCAAGCTGGGAGCTTCGCATAAACTCTCGCAGATCATCGGCAGAATTTGAGGATCAAAACATGGATTCAACCAACAAGAATGGCAATTCAACCAATTCAACCAGCAATGGGGCTGTTGTTTGCATCAAAGCTGAACTTTATGCAACAAGGCGCCTCAACCCATGCAGATGTAGGGTGGATGGAGTTGTCTTCCCTTTTTTGTGGGTGCCAAGTTGCAATAAGGCCACTCTTGTCGAGGTCATAACTGTCAAATTTCAATCGCACTTTGGTCAGGTCCTCAAAACAGCGGCCGTTGGAATGGCCCTGCCAAAACAAGTGGAAATCTTGAAAGATGTTGTTTACTCAATGGGAATTCCAGGATCCTAAAATGGAGGTACTGTACCATATAAGGCCATATTTTGTGGGGATACTCCCTTACATAGCCCTTACATAGGCCTTATATATGGTAGGTACCTCCAATTTAGGTTCCTGAAATGGCCATTGATTTACTGCAGGAAAACGTGTATCAGTGTATCGACTGTGACAAATAAATCTGGGGGGTCAACATTCGTTCTGGGTTGACTAATCGCAGCTAGCATGGCCAATCTTAGATACTTTGCAAAAATCATGCTTTAGCTGCTACTTCATATACATGTATATATATATATAATATTATATATATATATATTATATACATTATACTATAATATTATACGTATATGTATGCAAGTCGTAAAACTACCCATCCACAGTTGGTTTCCCCGTGACGAACCTATCACAACTCGCTCATGTTCCCGTGATTGCATGGTCATTTGGGGGATCAATTCCATGGTAACACCAGCCATTCATCTGTCGATGCTCGTTGCTTGCTGAGGACAGCCCGACATTTGAGGTGAAACATGGTGAAAACAAGTTAAAAACTCATGGCTTTCCTCCAAAGGTTCCCCTTGGTTCACCAATGAGTGTGTGGTTTCTGCATGTTTCTGCTTCAAGGCGCTGTGTAGGAGCATCCATGTTTCTTGGCCAACTCCATCGTTAACTCATCGCCCTGCCATGGCTTGGTGTTTGTGATCCGCTGATTCCGGGATGAAAATGCCATATTTTTCTTGGTGACAAAGACTCACGGAAAACAAGTACCGTTTGGTGATTTAACGTAGCTATGGAAAATCACCATTTTGGATAGGTAAATCATCATAAATCCTCTATAAATGGACCATTTTCCATGGCTATGTTAAATAGCCAAAGGGTATGCCTTATGATAAAAGGATATGAAAGGATATGATATAATCAAGATTAATCAAGGATATAAAGGATAAAATAAGGCAAAACTGGACCGAATCTGAATGTGCGCGGGAGTTCTGTAAATTTTACAGCAACGCTCCGAAACCTCTGCCGCTCCTGCGACATCTGCGCTCCAACGCAAAAAACAAAATGAATCAAAATGAATCAAAATGGGGTGGATCTTGAAACATTTTGAAACAGAGAACCCTCAAATCATCCAACAATTGTCATTGTTTAACGGTGGTGAACAAACCCATCTTGGGAGACATCAAATCGCATGCCCGTGGAAATTCATGTTGTTATTCCAATCTCTAGAACACACTTAAACAAAACCCAATAAAAGCCTAACATGATACACCACATGTATATTATGTTACATGTTAGTCTATTCCTCCTATCATGAAACTTCCAATCTATTCGGAACCGTCGGAAGCCTTTTTTCATCACCTCGCCTCAAGCGACTTTGTCTTATGTGCTTCGATTTTGAAGATATGACTTCTGTACCTGCGCTGCACAAAAAAAAATCTCTATTCTCCGGCATTTCTTCGCCATTCGCCAATAGGTCATTGGAGATATGGCGAATAGATAAGGAGAATATGGTGATATTAGAATATATTATATAGATATTGTGATGTACAAATTAATCAGTCAGCTGATTTTTCGCCACGTTGATATTAGTTACTTGGTGCCAGGTTCAGTTTCATGGGGGAAGCCCCCAAAGATCAGTGGCCAATTTAAAATGTTGGGAGTTAATGGGAATGTAATGATCAACCATCAAACATCTCAGGTTCCATATTTTCGGACAAAACCAGATTGTTTCTTTTGTTTCCCAAGGTTTCATACTACTGGTACTGCTGCAAAAGTAAAGCAAAGCAGTTCCATTCGTGACTTCATGCAGCTTGCATGACAGAATCTGAAACTCGTGCGGCACACTTCTCTTCCATCCACCATCAGACAAATACTTCAGATGGCCCCGTGGATAGTATGAACTTGCAACTATATATCAATGGGAATTTCAGGATCGTAAAATGGAGGTACTGTACCACAAAAGGCCATATGTTGTGGGGATATTCCCTTCCATAGGCCTTATATAGACCTTACATATGGTAGGTACCTCCAATTTAGGTTCCTGAAATGGCCATTGACTGTAACTACATAGAATTGGGGATCAGCTATGATTCATTGGAACTTGGAATTACAACCCCATTTGTGACTGCTATGCGCGTATCACTAGGCACATGTCTGAAAATGGAGGACCCCCGATTCCAAAGGATTATATAAAATTATTGTAAAATTATATAATATATCATCATATTTTTTCCACTTTTCCATTCCATTTTGGTTATACCTCCCTTTGGGACATTGATTTTTCATTGGGCAAACCAGGGTAAACCCCTATGTTGGTCATTACATCGGGGAAAATCCTATTCGTGTTTAAGCGACGTTCCTATTGATTTTAGCAAATTTAGCAAGGTAAATCCACGGTTTTCTTGAGTGAAATTGACTCAACGTGACAATTTCATCAGTCTTTCCGGACCAGGCACCATGTCATAAAGAGCTTTGCATCCACAGGACCCTCTGCCACTTGGCACCTGAAAGATCGACTTAGAAGGGGGAAGGGAAATGGGATCATATAATGGAGATACACCTCCCTGTGAGCTAGATTTGTAACTTTCACTTTTGCATACAGTGTGGATATATACATACATATATATATATATATATATCGTTTGTTCTTGTATATACAATTACATAACAGGTACAATCTATTCAACGGGTTTCTGGTTTCGACATGACTGAACGCATGGGAGAACAAATGATATTCTTTCATATTATATTATATATATGAGTAAATATATAGTCAGTAGACTGATCGCCCCTGGTTTGAATTGAAAACTACCAAGTTGGAAGCCATCAATCTATATTATGATCCCCAAACAGAAAAAAAATCAGTGGAGTCTTGGACAGCCCAGGCGCGCAGCATAGGATTCCCTCAGCAACTTTTCTTCAACGTCGATACCAAAGATTCGGGACAAGCAATGCCTAGCCACCGTGGCGGGAGGCAGGGCTGCAAGACAGTGCAATACTTTGGCTTATGGCCAAATGTACAGCAGGCTCATCAGCTTTCAGCGGAAAAGAATGAAACCACCGTGCAGTGTTGAAGCTGTCAACTAGTCTTACTTGAGGTTCAACGCTTCTGTGCTACGCAAATTTCCGACCTTTCTTGTTCCAGACCTGTTCCATCCTTTGCCTATACATTTCACGTTATACAAAATATGCGTGACTTTCTGTTGCGAAAATTCCGTTGATGTTGAATAAATCCCTGTGCTTTTTGGCTGCAAGTACATCTCCTAAACTATGGGTAGGGCCCCCAATGATCCAAAATTAGACTATTTAAATATTGAAATATATTCAACCATATTGAAACCCATGGTTTTGGGGTACCCCCATTTTAGGAAATGTCCATCTGGATACATGAAAATCACTCACCAACACCCTCAATGCCAGGCCCCTTTGTCGCCGACGCGACCTCCATGCAACTTCGTCCATACCTCCGTTGGGCAAATGCCGACCCTCGCGGATCTCCTGTGCGTTTCCATTGAGACGAAGCGTGGCAAACTGGGCAAACTGTGGCGTTTCCTTGGAACTGGAAAGTGTATGGGATACCAATTGTTCATTCATTTGGGATGATTATTATAAACCATAGTACAATAATATACAATAATCTCGTATTATATATGAGGGGTTCTTAAAATGGGGGATCCCCAAGTCACCATGGCTTTCAATACTTAGAAATGGTCTAATGACTTGGATGATTTGGGGGTACCCTCCGATTTTAGGAAACCTCCATGTAATGTGGCAAAGCCAATTTCATAAACCATCCCCAAATTTACCGTTAAAATGGGTGCTGATGTTCATGCGCACCGTTCTCAACAGCGTTCCAACTGCCGCAACTGGTTGGCAGTTTCAGACCCCAAAAGCTGCTTCAAAACTTGCTTGGTACTATGACAAGTTAGACGTAAGATAACTGCAAGACAACTGATACATTATGAAACCACAAAACCATTTGAAACACAATGATTGAAAGAACTAAAACTTGGCACTTTCAGGTCAGGATGACTCAGTGAATCCAAGCCTTCATGGCACTCTTCACTTCGTGAAAATCCAAATGAAGCTGTCCTTAGTGCACTGACCCATACCCTCACAGACCCCATCGACGAAGTTGAAGCAGCAGTCCGGCTGGCCCCATGATCGCCTTGAACTGCCCCGCAAAGTTGCATTATGAGGTCAGATTAAAATAAGAAACCTAGCAATGCCAAGTCCATAACTTAGTTGTTCGTGCTTTTTCCATCAAATCCTTTCCACTTCCACAAAAAAACAGTGGTGTTTTTCCAAACCACCCATGGCTGTCGCAGTGGTCCAAGTCACGAGATAGGACGAGAGCCTCGCTGCTCACATCCAACCTGAGGCGAAGCTGATCCCTATTGATATTTTCAATGTGTACCAAAGATTCCATCATAGCATAGAAATAGATCTATTCCATCATGATTCCATCATAGGACAATATTGATAGCATAGGACAATAGATCATAGAAATATTTCCATCATAGTCCAATATTCCAAAGAAATCCATATGGAATATTGATATATTATGATATATTGATATTCCAGAGAAAGATGGAATATTGATTGGCAAGGAGAATGGTCAACAATGATCAATCATCACCCTCTGGTAATTTGTTACAGTTTGCGAACTTGAACATGGCACCTAGAAACAGTTGATATTTACCCATTAAAAATGGTGATTTTCCATAGCTTATGTTAATTTACCAGAGGGTATATCCCATTCATATCCCATTAAGTCCCTATAAAATCCCATTAAATCCCTATAAAATCCCATAGAAAATCCCTATAAAATCCCATAGAAAATCCCATTTCTGGATATGTTTGGTACTGTGTTGGTACTTTTCCATGACTTTTCCGCAACACCATCATCCAAGGAATCCAAGGCACGTGGGCATGGTGGCCCGGCGTTGCAATGTCTTCCCCAAGGGTTTGGAGCTGTCAGCCTCCGGGCTGGCCTCATCCATGGAGTCCCATGGAAGTTCCCTGGTTGGCTCCCTGGTTGGCTCCCTGGTTTTTTTTAGCCATTTTTTTTCTTGGGAAAATGAGAAAATAATCCATTGGACAATATTGGACATGGATCAATACCTATTAATACCATTTTTAGGGGGATGAACATCCATTTACCAGCTATTTTGATGTTCACCAGGGGTACAAGGTTTTGACACACTGCTATATTGGACATGGGAGTAGCCTCTTTTCAGACAAACCGTTTGGTGAACATCCCGGTTCACTTCGACCATCCACCATTTTCCCATGAAAACCTGACATCGCCAAGTTTCAAGGCCATGGTGACCCGAGGTCAAAAACTCGGCCAACGCAGCAACACCTATGGTGGATCAGCAGGGGAGCCGATAGGTGTCACTTCTGCACTGGGAAATATCGATGAAATACCCAGACGAAATGGTTCATGTTAATGTCAATAATTATATGTTACCCTCTGGTTATGACTAACATAGCCATGGAAGCCATGGCCCATAGAAATAGATGGTTTACCGAACTTAAGAATGGGTGGATTTTCCATGGCCATGTTAAATAACCAGATGTTAATGGGAAAATCAAAACTCGATGGGGGCATTTTCCATTGGGTTCTCCAGAAGGTGAAAACTCTGAGCCTCTGAGCACAATGATTCCCCTAGCGAGAAAGATTTCGATGTTGCAGTTTGATTATACTTCGAGTACACTTTTGGAACGTTTTCATTGGTAAAACTCTATGTTCAATGATTAAATCTCTATTTTCATTGGTTAAATCACCACCTTCATTCATTTTTTTAATCACCATTGCATGTTTTGGGCTCGTTCCCGCAAGAAACCGTACTACCCAACGCACACCACAACGCCTGAAGATCTCCGTCTTAGCCGAAACTCTTCAAAGGGTAAAGTAATCTTCCTGAGTAGACCAATCTCCAGCACTCAACCAAGACAAGTATATTTTATCAATGTTATAGTACAGTACCCTATTGATACTTAAGCTATTGATAGGATTATAAATAAACCACTTTTCAAATTGGATATATAATGTATATATAATATAATGTGTATATATATAGTATTATAATATATGTATATATACAGTACTATAGTACCCTCCAAAAGATAGAAAAGTGATTTACCACTGTTTTAATGTTTTTTTACTGTTCTATCTGTTCGGGTGTTACTGTATATGTACCATAGACTATCCAAGCATCTGGAGGAACAACAACAACAACAACCACAACCACAACCACAACCACAACCACAACCACAAAAACAACCAGCAACCAACAACCAACAACCACAACAACAACAACAACAACAGCAACAACAACAACATGATTTTGGGATCTTTACCCGTTTTCATGGGTACTTAGAGGGTCTAAGTACGTATATGATCTTCAATTATTTTAATCAAATCCATCCGAAACATACTGGTCAACTCGAGATGATCGAACAAAATAGGATGTAGAGCTCTAAATGCACGTCCTGAAGCGATGCAGCTTTGAAAAGAGTGATGCAAGGCAAAGTTGAAGGCCCGGTGCCACGCTCACCAGTTGGTGAGGACAAGAAAATGGACGCCGAAATCACCAAATATAGACATATGACATTTCTTAAGTTACGGGGGATCCCCAAGTCAACCTGGGTTTCAATACTAAAATATACTAAAATGATCTTGTGACTTGGATGATCAGGGGTACCCCCCATTTTGAGAACCCTCCATATTGTGCTTGATGTTTGAGCACACTTGACCGTGTCGTGGGTCTCCAAGACTTTTGAAGGAACTGGGAACTCTCTGAAAAAAACTGTGCACTTAGGGTCCAAATGGTGCCAAGAAGAATGCCAGCGCAAATTCGAGCCGGCGAAATACATGAAATCATATAGATTGGACATGACATATGCTTTCAATACAACTAATATACTGATATATACTGATCTTACTAAAGTCTCATCAAACTCTCCCCAAGCCTCAAGAAATCACCACCAGTCAAGTTTCGTTTTGCTTCCTGTTCTTCCTGTCGTTTTGCTTCCTGTTCTTCCTGTCGAATGGCTGGAGGTTCGAGAATTGCTTCCCGAGCGGTTGGAGAGCGTTGCGTCCACGGCGATGGCGCTCTTGGAGCTGGAACGCCTTTCCAACCAACCAGCGTCACGGCGCACAGCAAGTTTTCAACGCACAGCTGATGCTGGTGGAATTTAACATAGCTATTGAAATGACCATTTATAGTTGATTTACCATTGAAAATGGTGATTTTCCATAGTTTTTTGTATGTTTACCAGAGGGAACATGTTGTTGTGGGATGTTGTGGGATGTTGTGGTGACCTCGTGAGGTTCTTATGATTGAAGCTTGGGGCCCTGGGGCCCTTGGCTATCCCTGGGTCATACATATCGCACTGCTGCGTCTGCCATTGAGAATGGATGACAATATATGACAATCCAAAATATAGATACAAAGGGTAGGTTAATGACCCCCGAACTAACATGAACTAACCATCAACCTTGGTTTTGCACACTGCACAATTGGATGGTTTCAAACACTATTGCAGTCCCTATTGAAGCTTTGCCGTTGATACTGACTGTTGCTGATCGCCAACCCCCTTAACAGTTCAAATAGTCAGAAGGCAGCCCCAACATAGCTGTCACTGAGCGAAAGTGCAGAAATGATTGCAACACATGTTGATATATAATTATAAATAAACTGTATATAACATGAAAACTGCAATCAAAAATTTGTTGCAGCTCTGAAGTTTCGAGACATCTCAGTCAAGCCACGTCTTGCTGTCTTTCCGCATAGCCAAGGAAATGCTCCCTTGACGAGCGTTCTCTGCACCTAAGTCTTCCAATTAATGGATCTTAAATGATATTGATATTAGTGGTCAATCTTTGATAGTCCACAAAAATATATATATATATAATCGTTTGCTGGTTAGGCTTATTTTCCATTTCTAGCAAAGGATTAGTTTCTACCCATCCAGTCGGTGATGGACTGATGGGAGCCTGACAGCCGCAAAGAACCAATGATAGTTTTAAGATGTTGTTTCAGAATCTATCAAAAATACATACAAAGTGATACAAAAATGATACACAAATGTATCCGAAATGTCTGGAACATTCTGGAATGTGCATTAAATTAGCAATAATGTTGCTAATCACGAAGAGGCGGATCAAAACTGATCGAAGCTGGGTGCTTTCACTTTCGCAGAATCTATAAACAATATGGCCGCGTATGCGCATGTGCAGTTTGTATGTGTGAATGAAGCGGTTCTACAGCCAACAAGATCAACAAAAAACCTGGAACCACATAGGCTTTTGACAGCAATCACATGCAGCATCGTCGTCGTCGTCGTCGTCGTCGTTTGTCATCATCATCATCATCATCATCATCATCATCATCATCACCATCAGCTAAGGAGTGGGCCTATCTTGCCCGCTTCTTCAACTGGAAGGTAGAAGCTGCCCGTGATGCCACCATCGGTACTTCGTCTTGACCTCTATCAAAAGCCGGTGGAAACTGGTGATGCATATGACTACGATGAAAAAGAAATACGCGGCTGCTTACATCAAGGTGAACTGGTGGTAAATCAGATTGTTGCTGCTGTTGGCTGTTGGCGCTCTGTGTGTTTTGGTTTTATTTTGCCATTGCTGCTGCTGCTCCTTCTGCTGCTGCTGTTGATGTTGGGGTTGATGGTGTCGGCAAGCCCTCATTTGTACTGTTCTTCCTCTAACAGGACCTATACAACAGGTATTGTCACACTCGGATGGGGTTCATAAATCAGTGGACTCTTTTGGTTGGGAACCATGACTTCTACATACTGTTGGTGTCAGCGGATCACCTTGGGCCATTGGCCTAGAAAATAGTTCACTTTTAGGCATCTATAATGTGTGTCTTTATTAAAGCCCAAATTGAACCCAGGCTTTGCAACCCAACAGCAGGTTTCAAGGTTCCAGGGTTCCAGCCTTCCAGTTCCGTTTCGGTGTTTGGTCTCACCAAAAAACGACGCACCATGACGCACCGCTCCAAGACCCAGAGGGTCTTAAACCTAACAGTCACTTGCGGTTGTGAATTTAAGCCATTCACCCACTATTCATCCAAATCTTATCAAGTTCGAGGTCCCAGCGGCATTCTGGGCTTGTTCCTTTTGACGATCGCTTCATTCTCGCCACCCATGGTCACGTCGCAGGGTCCAGTGGAGGGCTATTGTGGGGAAGATCTGGAGCCCAATGGGCTGGGAACCAAGCAGCAACCGCGGGTCACCAATGAAAGGTTCACTAAGACTTGACTGATTCTGGATTCAATGGGAATATTGATTGGAATGTCTGGATAGACCGGATGACAAGATTGTGATGTAATTTGATCAATGAAAATGGTGATATAAATGGGATATTCACCTAGATTATATTCACTATCGAGGGGAAAGTATCATGAATGTATCATAAGTCCCAAACTTGATTTCAATATATGGTATATACATATGCTTGAGATGGCAAAAACAACCGCTTTCTGGTGGTTTCAACAAGTTTCAACCAATCCCAGAGATATGAAAGTCAAGTCACTTCCTTCAGATGGAAAATAAAACTGATTTGAAACTGTCTGCTACGGTTTGTGGTAGATATATCAAACTAGTTCATGGGGTTTATAAACCAAACAACATAACTTTTGGGGACTATACCCTGCTCCTGCACGATCTGCACGGCATTGTTACCAGTCTCCATGAGATTGAACTTGATACTAGACAATATATCTATGAGTAGGAATGGGTTGATCATGGTAAATACATGTCAATACCATTCAATACCTACTAGAAGATTCTGGACGATCTTTAGGATCAGACCGGGTCAGCAAATCCGAGGTCTTTGGCATTGGATGGCAATGGATGACCTGCTTTTTCAAAGGTCTGGCCAAGTCAATGCTACTAAGGTGCTGCTTGGCTTTGTCGAACCAGTTCTTCTGGACCTGGCGGTCCAATGCGGCCCCTCCGAGTGCTGACAATACTGTTGACACACTGGGTCTGAAAATACTGGGGGCCCCCACTGCCACAGTTGAGACACTCCCTCTTCCGAATAACATGGCAATTTGTTGATGGTAAATCCCTTCATCTATTTCCAGGACAAGCCTCACAAAAACCGCACATTTAAATAATTTAAGGGCATGTCCGAAAATAGGGTACCCCTTCTATTGGTCAATCATCATTTTTCAATAACCATTCTTGGGGGGCCTATCTCCACACCGGGATGAACTGCAGTGAAGCGGCCAGAGTGCGCGTCCTCCGGTTGTTCCGAATCGCGCCTGTGGCGACAGATGGTCTATCACCTCCCTGGTGTGACTCATTATGAATAATTGGTCAAGGTGGGTGTAGTAGTTTGCAAAGAAATCGTAATCAGTAACTATGCATTAACCGTAACTGGTTTGAGATATCGAGCGCTCATAAATCTCAAGCTGGCATGGAAAAAGTGAAGACTTGAAACCGGCAATCAGATCACTAGCTGCTTGTTCATGATATCATTTATGTATGTGTTTGTTGCTTAATTTGCATACACGTTTATTATTATGTATATCTCATTATATCTGGGTAAATTATAATAATTCACTAACCTGAAATAAGGCCCATTTGGGGATGATTCCCCTTACTAACCATGATTCCAGTGAGGTCGCAGTGAGGTCGTTATAATTTACCCAGATAATATGATATAAATATGTGTTGTGTGTGTACATCTGTGTCACAGCCCAAACCGTTGGAGCCATGGTCGCCGAGTCTCATCTCCAAACAAGTGAAGTCAAAGACCTCCGCACCGGCATTCTTCAGCACCTGCGAAGCGCGAGGAAACTCAACGACTGGAGCGGATGACTGACAAATTTACAGAAATGTTGGAGGATTCCAGTTTCCAGCAACAAATAGGGGTTGATCAAATGGAAACTTTATGTGTAAGTTTCATTAAGTTTCCTGTAAATGTACACTTACATCAATTCGGCGAGTGGTTGTCAGATATTCTGGGCTGCGGCTGGTTTTTGTCCGGTTCAACCAAGGATGGTGTGAGTATGTTTGAGGATCTTGATTATAACCACCTGTATGCGTGAATCTAACCCAATCATTGTTCATCACGTTTCAATTGATCCATGGCGACACCATTGGAAGTATAAATATACATCATGACAATTATTGCTACGCAAGTATGCATACACATGCATAATGCGAATCTTAGGCATACATATCCTATATCCTCGACAATTTGGGCTTAGGGTAGGCAAACTGCAAACTCCCCCAAAATGACATGATGTCGTAGCAACTCCTGGCAACCGGCCTGAGCAATCTCCAAATAGGCGTTGTGGAAGTTGGTGTTGTAGTATCCTCCACGCCAGAGGGATTGGGATCTACAGTGCCGGCCAGAAATGACATGCAACAGGATGTCCGCCTATGCTCCTGGCTTGTTTCAACTACGGTAAGCTTTCCACATTGATAGCCTATATCATATTTATCTATATTTATCTGTGAATCTAACCTCGTTTCAAGGAATATAGGCAGATTCTTACCACTTGAGTATCTTCCAATTCTTGCGGCCAGGTTAGATTACCAGAGGCTACAAGCCATTTCTGATCCAAATCTCCAATTTCTGACCATCAAAGCTCCCTATGTTTTTAATTGTTTTCATGTTTCATGATTTCATCAGTTTCATCCCACTTTTTGATGAGAAATCCATTCAACATGTTTTGCCGGTTGAACCACCATGTTCAAGTTCCAAAATTTGTATGGTTAGCAACACACCTTTCCCAGTTCGGTGCTTAATCCCAAGTTCAATCCATGATTCAATCTTTTTTGCTGGTTAAGTCACTATGTTTGATCATGAAAATTCCAAGTGTTGATGGTTGAATCACCATGGTTTTGCTTGTTGAACACCATTTTTGCTCGTGAAATCACCATAAAGAACACATAAAACCACCATTTTTGCTGCTGAAATCACCATCAAACCCACCATTTTTGGCGATGCCTGGGACCGTTGTTCCGTCCTGCTGTGACCTCGGCCGCATGGGATGGGCTTTGGTACCACCAGTGGATGCCCGAAATCTTCGCAGCCAGGCGCACCTGGCTCTCGGCTGACCAAGGATTGGGGGTGAAAAAAATGGGGAAACATGTTGATAAACAAATCTTAAAAAATGGTGAATGTTTGATGTTGAGATTTGTTAAGATTCTTGAGATCTGTTGAGATTCGTGGTGTCGTGTTTTTTTTTCTGTTGATGTTGGTGCAACTATTTGTCTTGTTGTTGGCGATCATGATGGTTATGATGGTTATGATGGTGATGATGATGATGATGGTGGTGGTGGCGGTGGTGGTGGTAATGATGGCAATCATAACTACTACGATTACTTCTGTGTCAGCAGATTAGGACTAAGCTCAAGAAATATTTTGTTCCAGCCTTCTTAAAGATCTTCTGTGCAATGCTGATGACGTCCGTGCCGTGCTGTTTCAGAGCTGCAGAATACCACTCTAAAAAGAAATGACCTCAGTACCACATACCCAGGCAGGCTTGTCTGAAAAAATGGACCCCAAAAATGCCTGAAAATCTGATGCTTGCTCATATTGAAGCATAACCACTCAAAATCGCAAGTAAGAAAACAAACATGGAGATTCAGCAAAACCATGTTATGCATTGTTATGTTTTTGTTTTTCGGATACCTTGAAAGGTGTCGGCAACAAAATCCAATGTTTGCCACAAAAGATGAAGGTACAATCAATATTCTGTGGATAAAATCAAACAAGGTACCTTTTTTCGGGCTCCTCCTGTGTGGTGTGAGTCCCAGGTTTACCATTGATATCCATTGTTTATCAGTTTATCATGGAAATATTCCGCCCAAATGAAAAATACAACATAGATCAACATAGGTTCTCCAGGTGTTGGTTTGGCTACTCTCCACCCCCGCAAAAGAGAACGCTGATCACCTGTCTTTACACAAAGTCCGGCCGCATAGTCCAGAAGTTTATCACCAACCACTGTGAAGGTCACTCTCCACGCTGCATTCCACCAGAATACCATCCAAGGAGAAACTCCGAAGCTGCCAGGGTAAAGTCGCAAATTGTGGGGACGGCGCACGGACCTGCCGTTGGAGTCTCCAAAGACTTCTTTGAAAAGTCAAAGCCTGAAGCTCTCTGGGCAAGATTATGTTTGCAGGCTATGGATGCATTCCTCACCAAGAGTCAAAGTTTGCAGGCTGTTGGGCAGGATCACACTCTGCAGGCTCTGGTTGAAGCGTTGACCAAATGCCAAGCTTCGAAGATTGCTGGGGAATCTTACATGATCCAGGTTCTGGTTGAATTGCATACAGAAAGTCAAGCGTTCAAGCCGTCAGGCAAGGTCGCGCCCCACAGGCTTTGGTCGAAACAAAGGGTCACACGATCCCGGCTCTGGTTGAATTCCCTACCAAAAGTCCAAAATTTCAAGGATTCAAGGCTGTCAGTCTGTCAGGCAAGGTCACACGTTCTATGCTCTGATTATATAAAATAAAAATTGAAAATCAAACTTTGAAGCGCTTTGAAGGGTGTTGGGCAGGATCACACCCTCCAGACTCTGATTTAGAGTAACGACCAAATGTCAAGTCTCGAAGATTGGCCGGACATCTTACATGATCCAGGTTCTGGTCAAAACGCGCGGCCAAAGTCAAGCTTTCAATGCTGTCCGGCAAGGTCACACGCTCCAGGCTGTTCTTAAATCTCCAGGCAAGATCTAACGTCTTCAGTGTGCTGGGCAAAGTCACATGTTCTATGCTTTGATTGAACTGCTCACCCGATGTCAGATGCTGCAGGTTTGCTGGCCAGATCACACCTTCAAGAATTTGGTTATACTCTGGTTCCCAGCACACCTTCAGAGCAGGACAAGGGTCAACGCTTGCTCTAAGAACTTTCTCCCCGAAAGCCAAGTGTTGCAGATCACTGGGCAGGTTCATATTTTCCAGGCTCCGGCCCAATTCCTCACTCAAAGTCAAAGTCCGAAGACCGCAGGGCAAGATCAATCCCTCTAGGCTCTGGTTAAATTTTGAACCGAAAGTCAATTTTTGAAGACTTCTGGGCAGGATCACACCTTGCAGGCTTTGGCTGAACTGGCGGCCCAAAGTCAAGTCGGGCAAGGTCACACAGTCCAGGCTGCTGTTGAAGTCTGAACCAAAAGTTAAGCTTTGCAGACTGGCGGGAAATGTCACATGCTTTAGGCTCTCATTGAATCGGGAAGACTAATATAATTATTGGGAAATGTCAGATGGTCCAATGGTCCAGGCTTCTGTTGAAGTCTGTGCCGAAAGTCAAGTTTTGAAGACTGCTGGGCAAGTTCACCATTGAAGGTTGCTAGGTAAGGTCACGCCCTCCAAGCTCTGGTTGAATTCGCCATCAAATGCCAGTCGCTGAAGGCTATGCGGAAGCTTGTGCAAATACTCTCCAGCGGGTGCACCCTCCAGCCGGTCACCCCATCCACTGCAAAGGAATCCTCAGAGACAAAGATTCCTCGGATGAAACACCAGGCAGCATACAAATCTGTTGGCACAAGAGTGTAGGATAAAGCCACAAGGTTGCCAAAAAATCCTTGCTCTTGCAGTGTTTGGTCCAACACTAACTTGGAACTGTAGTGATGCAGCATGAGTTTAGCACCTGTCCTGTATCCAATTCTTTCTAAAACCACCGGATTTCCCAACCAAGGATGCTTCCCGGCACCTGCAACGTGAATGCTCCACCATTGAGGCACAACACCTGAAGATCGATTGTGTCCGACTTACTCAAGTTCTTCAGAGCAACCGCAGCCATCTGGCTTTGCCTGAAAATGACTGTAACACTGCTCCATCTCATAATCGCCATGTTCCCCAGTCTATATCCGAAAATTCCAGGGATGCCACATATTCACAGGCCATGACAGATCTTATCGCTGTCAGAATTGGGTGCCAGAAAGAGTGGATGGTGAAACTTCACCGCAGCGATCGCACTTGGGCAGGGACAGGAGCCACTTGTGGCTGCAAGGCACGCAAACCGCAAACCCAGATTTGGAGGTTTCCTAAAATGGAATACCCGCAAAATGGATGGTTTGTATATAATGGAAAATCCTATTTAAATGGATGATTTGGTGGTACCCCCATTTTAGGAAACCTCCATTTGTTCCTGCAACACTTCGGGTGCAAAACAGAAATAAATGTGCCACGGAAAATTGTGCATTTAGTTGATTAATGTATTAATCTTTTATTATTCTTATTATCATTATTATTAATTATTATTATATTATTAATTTCCAGCGATCGGATTTTTTTTGCTTCGTCGCAAATAATCTATGGCCGAAATGGCACAGGCACCGGGATCGCCGCATCCGAACTTCAGTGCCTATCCCGGCATCCAAAAAATAACTAAGACACACTGATAGAAAGCCCAGATAGAAACATGAAATCCTACTATGTAGCATAGTCAAAAAATACCTTTCTATGTCTATCTCTTTGATTCTCTTGGAGGGTTGCTATATGTGACTATGATGGGTCCTTTTAACATAAAAAACTGTTCCTAGGATTGGAAAATTTACGTGATACAGAAAGGTGCCTCTTTGGTCCCGAAACTGACAATGCGGAGTCATCATTTGGGTTTCAGGGAAAGTCGCAAAAACCATTAGAGTTCTTACCATCTGTTCCCCTGCATCTTTATAGGTCCCTTTTCTTTATATCATATTATACAATAAATCATTGATGGCTATAGACCCACGATCGGAGACTCTCGATGCTTTATGATGCTTTATGTGGCTGTGCACGGCAAAATTTCCCGTGAATTCAGTGGTTTCAGAAGGGTTTCGGTTAGGGATCAAGTTTTGAACGGATGTCGTTTAAAGGATCTTGGCTATGTGGAAGCTGTGGGATTAAACATTGAAGTCTCCCTTTTCAACACGGCTTTCCTTATTAGATCTGCTACCTTGGTGTCCACCATGACAATGTCCAAATAGAACCCCGCCGTGCCAAGAAACCTGTTGAAGATACGTAGTTGGAGGGATGGTTCAACCTTTGTCGACATATCTGGTGAAAAGGTGGATCCAAAAAGCAACCCTAAATACAGTGTATACACTATATACATAAATATGGTACATATATATATAGTATATCCATGTATATTGTAGTATATAATTCACATATATACACAGTGATGGTATAGTAATAATATTACGTAGTGTATACAACATAGTTATAAATATAATCTCATATAATCTATAGTATCGCGTTTTGTGTTTTCCTTTAAAACTAACCGAGAAAGAACGGTTCTTCCAGATCGGCATTTCTAACAAAGTTAAGCGGCGAAAAGAAGCTGGTGTCCTCCGGTGGGGCTGGATGCATCGCTGGGTGTGTCCGAAAATGAGGTATACCACGTGTATTATTGAGAGATAAATAACCATAGTCATCAGGCCAACTATTCCCAACTTATGTGAGGGGTTGAATTTCCCATGGTTCTACCCCACAAAATGCATTGACAGATGATTAACCAATCATAATAGTAATATAACAATATTATAATATATTAATAAATTACTATAATAATATATAGTAATATAATAATATAAAAATATAATAATATAAAAATATAATAATATAATGATAATAATACAATACAATAATTTAATAATTTTATAATATGATAATATATTTTAAAAAAAAACTATAATAACATATTAATATAATAAAAAAATAATACAATAATACAATAATAAAATAATATAATAATATAATAATATAATAATATAATGATATAATAATATAATATAATAATATAATAATATAAAAATATAGTAATATAACAATATAATAATGCAATAATATTATAATATAATAATATAATATAATAATATAATTATAATAATATAATATAATAATATAATAATATAATAAAATAATATAATATAATAATATAATATAATAATATAATAATATAGTAATAAAATAATATAATAATATAATATAATAATATAATATAATAATATAATAATATAATAATATGAAAATAAAATAATATAATAATATAATATAATAATATAATAATATAATAATATAATAATATAAAAATATAATAATATAATAATATAATAAATTTGATAAATAAAACAATATAATTATATAATAATATAATAATATAATAAGATAAAAATATAATAATATAATGATAATTATAATACAATAATTTAATAATAAAATAATATAATAATAAGAAAATTAATAAATAAAATAATATAATAATATAATAATATAATAATATATTCATATAATAAATATAATAAATAAAATAATATAATAATATAAAAATATAATTAAAAAATAATATTTTTCCTCTCGCCTTGCACCTCTTGCCGCGCGGTCACGGCATTGAAACTAGGTGCGTTGGCACCAGATGACACCCGAGCTAAACTCTACGTTGCCGTGCAGCCGTCAGAATGTTATGATTTTGAACATCAAACCCTCGATAATCTGTATGGCTTAATTTACTGTGAATTAATTCATTTGATCTGAAAGTCCATTGCTGTCTAGGTCTACCAATACGTCTTTTTCCTATTTCAACGGGTTCTGCGCTGTCTGGTTGGTATGTAACCTGCCTTAAGGGGTCACTGTTTGGCGACCGAAGGATGTGCCCAGCGAGTTTAATTCTTCTCTCATCAAGTAGTTCAGTGAATGGTTTGACACAGCCATTGCCTGATGGGAATGCGATGTCCGAAGCTGTTTGATAAACTCGCTGGTTGGTATTCTGCCTGTTTACATACGTTGTTTGCATTCGCAGGATTTTTCTGAGGCCTCGCAAATGAAACGCATCCAGTTTCTTTCGTAAAGTACCCGTAAGATGTACTGTTTCCAAACTGTATAACAACTTGCTTCTGATTACTGCGTCATAGATCAACAACTTCCATTTGGGATTGGAGCTGGGGTCTTTCCATAATGAATCAAGTCTCAGCCAAGTCCTCTTGGTGTCTTGGATGCGTTGCGAAACTTCACGCGCTATGTTCACTGCGTAATTCAAATTATTGCCCAAGTAAGTTGCATCATGAGTTTTATTGAGGGGGGTTCCGTCACGAAAATGAATAATCGCTTCATGGTACATGTGAATGGAATGGCATTTGCTTCTGTTTATTTTGAATCCATAATGCTCACAACATTCCTCCATATGAAGCAACAATTCGTTCAGGGCACTAGGTTGGGTTGAAAATAAAATAGTGTCATCGGCATAGTATACAGAATCAAATTGCACCCCAGGAATTCGCGCATTCATGACCACAGCTGAACAATTATGCTTCACATCTGAATCAATACAGGTCATCAGAAGTAAAAACAAGTACGGACTCAAAGGACATCCTTGGCGAATCCCTGCGTTCTGGATTTTAGTTGCTGAACGGTCATATTCATCCTGCACGTAGACGTAAAAGGTTGGCGACTGGTATAATCCTTTTATAATGTCAATAAAGTGCCGAGAGAAACCAAGTCGACACATGGAAGCAAACAGCTTATCGTGCTGCACCTTATCAAATGCTTTGTCCCAATCGATCAAAGCCAAATAAAGCTGTGCGTTTTTTTGTTCGGACCAGTCTTGCAACCTTCGGATTAAATATGTTGCGTGTGCAGTGGATCTGTTAGGCCTGAAGCCGTACTGCGTGGGTGAAACTTTGAATTCCACGGCTTTCTGAACTCTGGCACGGACAAGAGAAACATAAATTTTGTACATTGCATTAAGTAAGGATATGGGTCTGTAATTTGACGGATTATCGATATCACCTTTCTTGTAGATTGGGACCACTCGTGCTAGTAGGATATCTTGCGGAACAGTAGTGTCCGTCCACCAATGATTTAAAATATCTAAGAGAAACTGTTTATTTTCAGTGTTCAACCATTTGTACAACTCGGCAGCTATGCAGTCTGCACCCGGCTGTTTATTTACTTTACAATGTTTTAACACTTCTTTCAGCTCCGCTAAAGTAAAGGGAGTACTGTCACACTCTAAGGTATTACCTATGTTCTGTTGCTGGGGTAACGGGCCACGACCGCAGTCGTTGCACCAATGGTGTTCTTCGAGGTAGGCAGCAATTGTCTCAGCACGTTCTTTGAGAGGAACCCAACGACCAGTTTTATCACGCATGCTAATATATGATGGCTTAAAATCTTTTCTTAGATGATTGACGGTTTTCCACAACTTTTTTCTATGTGGATCACTTGGATCTAACTGGAACTGGTTGACCATCTGCCTCTTTCGGTCTGAACGAGCGTGCTTCTTTATCTGCCTGTCAAGAGTTTTGACTTCCTCACGTTTACCCTGCTGATAGGAGCGCTGACGAGACTTTATGAGATTCCACGCGTGAGGGGATAAGTAATCCTTTTTCTTGTGGGGAATCTCTCTTGACAGGCACTTGGCTGCTGCTGTTTCCACAGCACTGTTAAAAAGCTTCCAATGTTCTCCATCATGTTGTTGCAGTAATTTAATAATATGATAATAATAATGATAATATAATTTAATAATATGAAAATATAATAAGATAATAATATAATAACATAATAATATAAGGATATAAAAATATAAAAATATAACAATATAAAAATATAATAATATAATAATATAATAATATATTTATATAATTATATAATAATATAATAATACAATAATATAATAATATAATAATATAATAATAATAAAATGTGAAAATATAATAATATAATAATATAAAAAAATAAAATAAAAATATAGTAATTTTGAAATATAATAATATAATTAAATTAACCAGTAGGACTAACCAGTACATTCGCCATCATTAATCATTATAATTACTCCTGGGGTAGAATTACTCCAATTGACGATTAACTACCAGGTTTTTGGGGTTCCAAATTTTCGGACAAACTCCAGATCCATGGCTACACGAATAGGTAGCACCTGGCAACAGTAATCCTTCAACTGGCTGAGAAACCCCGTTTTTTTGTCCGGGAAAATCACCTACCAAAATTAAGATTTTCCGGCCAGCCATGTTTAATGACCGGATGGTCAACTGGTGTTGGTTAAAGGTTGGTTAGCCATTTTAACCACCCAACCGGTTGTTGACTGGTGGTTAACGTGTGTTGGTCCTGGATCCAAACGGTTCCAAACTACGAGTTCCCAAGTTCCCAACCACCGCCCCAACCTTAGTAAAATCCTGATGCTGAGGCCCCAAAGCCAGAGCAACCCTGAATGGAAGGCAATGAACTCCCTAAGTCAAAGCAACGCATTGTGTCATATCGTGTCTATACAGGATATATATATACCCTCTGGTTATTTAACATAGCCATGGAAAATCACCATTTTTAATAGGTAAACCCAGGTAAACCATCTATAAATGGGCCATTTTCCATGGCTATGTTAAATAACCAGAGGGTATACATTTTTCTATGCAGTCAACTGAAGCAGCAACGCTATCACATCGATTCTTACAATACTGGTGCTTGCCCCATCAGCCATCCCCAATACCATTGGTTGCTCATCCCATAAACCGGTACCCACATATCGCCGTCCTGGGGAAAATCATTGTAGTTCACATGTGGAGGCATGAAAGTCTCATTCTGCGCTGCGGTCCTGCCCGGTGCCCGAAGGGGTATCAACATCCTCTTCTTCGCATGAATCAGATTGATTGAAGGGGAAGATCTATAAGAATATATGGAGCTTTCCATGAAAAATGAATGTTTCCTGTAGATTTTCCCTTGAACCAATTCTGGGAATGGTTGCTGTGGATTTTCCCATCCAGAGAAGGTACGATAAGTAGATCTTGAACCGAAGGGTTCCCCACTTGCTTTCTACCACAAAACCCATGGCCCTGGGCACCATATATATCACAAGCACAAAATGTTTAGGGGATATCTCCAATATCACATGTCAGTACATATCATGATTATATCGAAGACCATATTATGTATAATATATAGATATCAATAATATTCCATTATCTTGTCAAGAAACACATACGTTTACCAATATTAATATGTATCTATCTAATCTACCTAATCTACCTAGTCTATCTAATCTATCTAATCGATCTAATCGATCTAATCTATCTAATCTATCTATCTACTGCAATCAGTAATTCCTACTGCAGCATTGTCACACATTTCTGCCACCATCTACGTCCAACATGCGCCTGAGACTCTTCAAGGCGTGAACGTCAAAGGATTGGAATGCGCCTCGCGCGCGAAACGGAGGAAACCCGTTTTGAAATTTGGTCAAATCCGTGGGAGCTCTGAAAACAAATGGAGGGTTAGTCTTGAGCAAAACACGTGTAAATATATAGATCTAAATATATATATATAAATAAATATATTATACTAACACACACAGGCGCAAAAAACAACCTAAGTGGGAAAAAACACTTTGCCGCCATTTCGTAGGTCAAAAGTTACTTTTCCCAATCTCAGCTCAAGGGTGCGCGTCTCCTCAAGAAAACAGGTGTTGCCTCAGATTGACCATAATCATACGGTTGGGGCTAAATATGTATACATATGTATGGACTGCCAGTCTTCTATTTTATCTCATATGGTGCCAGAATTAATCAATAATTTGATTTGTTGGAACTGCAAAGGCTGCATCGGAAAATCCATCGGTCCCGTACAGTACAGATTCACCATTTCCACGTTGCTGGCTCAGTGCCACGTAGCTGGCTCAATGCCTCGTTGCTGGCTCAGCGCCTTGTAGCTGGCTCAATTTTTTGAACGGAAAAAAAACGGAAAAAAAAAAAACGCGAAAAAAATGAGCCAGCTACATGCCCTTGAGCCAGCTCGGTATGCCATCATCATCCCGGCCAATACATATTATGTGTTCGTTTCTTAGCTTTCACATTCGTTCGCCAGCTCAACTTTTTTCGAGTTTTTTTCGTTTTTTTTGGTCAAAAAAACTGAGCCAGCTCGATGCCATCGAGCTAGAGCGATGTGTTTGAGCTAGCGCGGTGTTGCTGAGGTAGCTGGTTCCACTTGAGCGAGCCTGCATTTTTTTCCCAATGTGTTCAATTGCCAGGTTCAGTCCCAAATGATTCGTTTAATAGAGATGGTACCCCTGTTGCAGCCCAGAAATTTAGGAGCCACGTTTTGGGCCAAATCTGCTTAGACAGCGGCACAACATTAAATTCAAACACATGACCCCTTCTGAAATTGAGCCAGCTACATGTTTTGAGCTAACTCGAAAATGAGGAAGATTGTGGATTGCTACGTTCAAGTAGGAATCTACTTCTCATGGGCTAGAAATGACTGTCAAGAGACAAGTTAGTCCATTGATGTAGTGTTGAAGACTCTTAAAACCTGACACAGGGTTTCTACGAATAAAACAATCTCAGATTTCAGTGGATAAACGTCATATGTATATATATATATTTATTTATTTATTTATATATCCTGGTAATATTATATGTAGATGTGTATATACTATATGTATATTATATGTATATATATATGTATATATCATATTCATATTGGATCCAGTATGAATATATATATACATATACATACATACATAAATATGTGTATGTATATATATATATATTAGATATACAATGTGTTTCTATATATATATGTATTAAAACTAAAAAACTAAATTGGATACACCCACAAAACTGACCCCTCTGGGCTTCCCCAACCAATACCGGGAAAGCTCCAACGGTCCAAGGGATAGGAAGGATACCTCCCGGGCGATGGGAATCCCTTCCCCCTAGAGAACATGCTGGTTTCACCATCAAATTTACCATCAAAAATAAGGATTGAACCACCAAAATATCCAAAAATGTGTTTTAACATCAAACATGGGGTTTTAATTTGTAACATTTTGTAACCATCAAAAAATATGATTCAAGCATCCTGAAATGAGTATTGAACATGATTTACATACCGAAGACCAGCCCAAATTGAACCCTCACTATCCCTTTAGTTGAGTATATATTGCACCTATTCACTTCTGGAGGTATTTTAGAGGGATGGGATTGCAATGCTATCACTGGGAGTCATTGGGATACTTATCATGAATACCTAGGAATACTGGGGGAAATCTGGAAAAGGTTCCGTTCGGAGCCTTAGGATCTCCAAATCCATTGAATCGCACTACCACTCAGCAACTGTTTAAAATACTTAGTCGCTCTGCGCAAGTATCACCAATGGACTAGTCTTTTAAGTATCACCAATGGACTTTGTTTCTACTGTCAATACTTAGTCACTTAAGAATCACCAATGTCCCCTTTTCTTGAAACTTAAGTCTTGGACAGTTTCGGACATGCCTCTAGCGGCTGGCGACTAGCATTCAAAAGCGCTGCAAGTGCAGGCCTCATCTCGCCACACGGGCCTAAGCCTACCTCGATGGCGTCGGGAGTCTTCATGGACTTTTTGGGAATCCCTGGGTTCCACTGGGCATTTTGCTGAGGGAGCAGCCATGATTTCCACGATGGGCTCTCCCTTCAGTTCATTTTTGAACCTTAGAAAGTCACCGGTTGCCACCCACTCAAAAAACATATGCCAGTAGTTGAGTATATTTGACTTTAATTATATAAGTATGTCTCTACTACAGCCACATTCAAGTAGTGATGAAACCCATAGCCAGTGGGAAGGGGGACCAAAATTAGTCAGTCGACTTGAGATGCACAACAAGGGGGAATCGAAGACATCCAACATGAAAAGTCAACTCGTAAGTGTGTGGCATACATGTGGCATACTGTATCTCTAAATCATGTTTGTACTCCCCAGCAGAAAGCATCACTTGGAATCCCACCTACTGTCATCTACTGTCTCCTTAGAAGTGGTCAGCAGCCCTTGTCAATCAGTCTGGTCAGTAGGTCCGCAAAATTGGATTGTCGGATTTAGAAGTGGCTTGCAACCATGCTTGTAACCGTTACAACCCAGTAGGCCCAGCTTGGACCAATCTGACGACACCCCTCTGACCCATCTTGGCAGCTGAGATTCTCTTTCCGAAAAGCCTTAAACCAATCACCGTACATCTTCAAGGGCGTGCGCTGGTCCGCTAGCGGGACAGCATCCGCAAAAAGGGAGATGTACTCCTCACAGCAAACAGGGTAGCAGTGGAAGGACATCATTCAGCAGCGAAGGCCAGGCTCCTTGGTCTCCTTTCCTTCCGCATCCTTGTACCAAATGTCCGGCAAACTGCGAACGAATTCCTTGGATCAGAAAACAGGGGGCCGTGGGAAAGACAACTTGACAAGTCCATTGGATCAAGTGTTACCGGCTACAGCGGCCCTTTCTCACCCGAGAATGAGTCCTGAGGTCATAGGAATGCTTGGTAGCTGGATCGCACTCCTGTCTTTCAGTATTATAGTCAAACAAACGACAGATACATATTAAGACCATATCCCTAATATAAAACACCCCCTAAATGGTCCCAAATATGTGTAATTCCGCTACATCCACCATGGTTTTGGGGGGTGTTTGACGTATTTTAATATTTGGGGGAATAGAATTTTAGACATTATAAATTAATATAAATTATAAACTAGATACCCTACAAAAACCCTAACATATATATATAATATCAATGAATCTAGATCCATTGCTGGTTTGCATCGCGGTCCCTCTGTCCCAGCGTCCGGCAGGGGGATGTTGCACGCATCGCCTGCGATCTGTTCGCCGATCCAAGGATGTTGGCGATTTTCATGAGATATCTTAGCATATCTTAGCCAATACTTGTGAGTTCCAAAACGAATTCAGGACCCACCTCCAAATTGGGGACTCAAATTGTGCTTTTGAGGGCTTGGATAGATTCAAAGTTGCCCAATGTCTGGGTATCTTCTAATTGTGAGTAAAAGATGGCCAGATACTATGGGCAGCGTGGTGGCTTCAATCCATCCCATAAATTTCGGTCAATTTGAGACCACCATCCCAGGACAGAAAAACCAAAAGTATTTGAAAGTACCAACCACTTTTATGTCCATTTTAATTAGTTATATAGGCCCTTTAAAAAAAGACTTACGTCTTATTGATGACACCACCAACCTCCCGCAGAACTTGACGCCTACATTGCCACCACACTGGTGAAAGGAACTCACAATCTGGACTTTGAAGCCTCGTGATTTCGCCTGCATGCGCGGAGTTGGTTGCTGTGAGTGGACTGTGGTCTCAGATGGTATTGACTCTGGTGATATTGATGGGGAGATAAGTAACCAAATCAGTTAATGGGGATGTAATTGGATATGAATGGGGATATAATTAATGGGATATAATTGACTGATAATTAACTAATTGTAATTTCTCTGGAAAATTGGGGATCGAATGAGATACCTACATAAATGGAATTAAACGGGGTAGTTCATTGGAAAATCCTCGAACATTCATCGAACTAAACGCAGATTTCCGGCAAGCCATGTGTGATTGGGAGAGGGTAGATGATATCCCTTGAAAGGTCAAGAACAATCAAGAACAGTCGCAGTTCAAGTTGTGGTGAAGCTCCCTGAACATCACACCCTGATGGAAACATGGGCCAAATTGGCAACAAAAGCCCCATGTCATAGATTTGCCAAGCGCAGGATCTACTTGAGTGGTGTTGGAGGGACGTTTACGCATGTCACTTCGGCATGTCACTCACCAGTCGGTTTAAGCTTGAAAATGATGTTTACCGCCTTTTAAACCTGCTATCACAGATAGCTTGAGGTTCAACCCTTTCTGTCAACTGATCCAGGTATTTGAAGGCAGAAAATTTGTGACGAACCACTCTGTCAGAAACATATCGAAAAAATTCTGACCTGAATGCACTTCTGCACTGCTCAATTCGGGTCTTGCAGCCAGTTTACAATTTAGTCTACTTGCTGACATCTCTTGGTTTTCTCTCACTTTGGGGTCCAACACAGACAAAAGCTTCCCATATTTTTCAGCACAAGAACTTGAAGTGTACTGAACTGACCCAACGACGGACTAACATCCCATCCGTGGCCCAGTTTTTGTGGGCTCCTCATCAATCAAACGGCGATATGGAGCAAAGTTGTACTTCTTTGGTTCCGGCTCAGTGATGCCCCACCAAACATCCACCATGAAACCATCCTTGGAACGAGGAGGTTTCGGTATGGAGGTATGGATCAAGGGATCTACAGATTCAGGTACATGGATTTTTGTATATACAGTAAGTGTGTTTGTTGCGAAAACCCAAAAACCATTGACTTGAAGATAATGCTGTCAGGAGCGATGCAAAACGGCAATTGTTTCCAATTAATTCAAATGCCGGTGACTGTAGCAGCTCGCGTTGCTTGATGATTTGCTGATACCCAGCGTGTAATAGTTGTAAGGAATCCATGTCGTGGATTTTGACATTGAAATAATTCCTTACGATCGAGAATAGATCAGTCAGTCTTACATCTCTCTTTTCATTAGTCCTGAAAGGACACCATCGTATAAAGAAGGTGCAGCAAAAACCGCAAAGAAGTGCTGAAGGCATCTGCCAATGCCTTCAGCAAACACTTCCTACTGAGAATGCAAAGACAAAAGCAAAAGACAATTGTCTTTCCCGAATGATAAACATCCTCAACAACACCACTCAACACTTAATATAGAACAGCTTTTTCCAAGGATGTTGTAGATGATGCTTCGCTAATATGATATATGTGTCCACATCTATTCTAACTGGTGTGTTTCTCTTTGAAATTAATCAGTGTGGAGTTGCTATCAATTACTACCAAAACTGTTATGGTAACATAACCATATCATGTTTCTATATAGATCTAGGTATGTATAGTCATCCTGGAGCAGATACTTAGAATAAGGAATTTTCAAAAACAAAAAGGAAGAATAAAGCTGACATATCATGGCATATCATTGAAAAATCTATTTACTATCAACCTCAGCATGATTATATATATATCATATTTCATATGTATGTATGATTATGTATATATAATTCTTAGCATTCTTGGTATCATTAGCTAAAGTCTTGTTACCCTCTGGTAATTTAACATAGCTATTGAAAATGGCCACAGAAATAGTGGATTTTCCCCTTAAAAAGGGTGATTTTCCATAGTTTTTTGTAAGTTTACCAGAGGGTATCTTTTTTCTTCCCTACCTTTCTTGGCATTGTGAATTCCCTCATGGCAATAATCCCAGGGGCTGCTTTGGAGGTCGCCAAGGCCGCCCAAATCGCCGGCAGCTGGTCCTGACAAGTTGATGAATGTCAATGGGATCGATATTACCCGGCCTGGCATATAATGGGATTTTATAGTGATTCAATGGGATATTATAGTGATTCAATGGGATTTTATAGTGATTTAACGGGATTTTATAGTGATTTAATGGGATTTTGTAGTGATTCAATGGGATATTAATGGGATATACCCTCTGGTAAACTGACAGTTTGCGAACTGGAAAATGGCCCAGTCGAAATAGTTGATTTACCCATCAAAAATGGTGATTTTCAATAGCTATGTAAACGTTTACCAGAGGGTAATAGGACATATTGAAACTTCATAAATCCTGATTCATGGATTAAACCCTCACTATTGTGGCTATGTAATGGAATCATGAGGATATAAAGGGATATCTTAACTGGAATTAATTAACCGGCACACTCATTATAGAATAGTGGGGATGAATTGGGAGTAAATTTAAATGGGGACAAAATGTGGATTTACTCATGCGTGTGGGTATTTTACCAAGCAGTTTGTGGGGATGAATGGGGATTAGTCAGAATATAATATGATATAATAGGTCGTAGCCTAGCTGGTAGTTAACCATTGGATAACTAACGATCAAACTATCAATAATCCAAAAGTTATATAATGATCAATGATCAATGATTCCAACAGTTACAGCAGCCCCTAAAATGGTCGATAGAGGAGTTGGAACCTGGAAATTGTGGAGAAAACATGAGAAAACATCATCATACATCATCTACCCCATTCGGGAAGTACTTGTTCTATCTTTTCTATACTAGTCGGTTAAGAGTTAAGAACAGCATTACATGTTCATGGATGATCATGATCCCAAATGTATTGGACAGATTTGGACGGTATGACCCCTACAATTGTCATATAAAAACATCTGGAATGTACGATCGGAAATTGTATGAAATTGGGATTTGATGTGTTGTATGCTCTGGTCATCTAAGCAAGCATAATTCAGGCATAATGCGAATGTCTTTTTAAAACTAAAAGATGTGACTTTCACACGCAGAAATTTGGCTTCAAACCAACCAATATTGGGGTTTAAATCACATAGCACAGATTTTGATGAGTGTTGTGTCCCAAGACTGAGAGTTTATGCAATTGTCTCATACGGAAAATTCATTCAACCTTTGAGTCTAGGGAAACCATCCAAAATGACTTGAAAACTGCACAGTTTCAAGCCTTGTTGGATGGTTTCAAAAAAATCAAGTCAAACCAACCATTGTGGGGAGGCGATGACCCAAACTAATGGAGTTGTTTCACACAATCAACTATGAATGTGACTCCCATCACGAATGTGGATATGACACAAGATATAAGTGGCCGAATGGTGGTTAATCCCAGAAACCTGCCAGGTGGACGGTTGGATCCAAACATTAACAAAATTTGAGGAACAAAATTCTGAACTTCAATCGTTGCCTGCAGGGCCAAAAGGCCAAAAGGATGGGAAATCTCACCTATTCGAAACCAGCAAAAAGCAAACCGAGCGAAGCCTTGTGAATCATTGGAACTAAGCCAACAAAAACGCACAAAAACCAACGGAAAACCCAAGGAATTGCGTGTCTATGGCCCACTCTTCAGTAGACCAAAGCGTCCATAGCTGGAACTGGCACCAGTTCCAAAGGCCTAAAGTCGAATCTTCTTTAATCCTCTTGAACATTGTGAAAGCGCAACTTGTTGATTTCCTGCACTAAATATGCAGTAGGTTCATCTACTTCTGGATTTCTGACGTGTTTTCAGATTTAGTTAACACTTTAAGTTAAACCAAATAATCTCCGGAAAAAAATCTACGAATTCACAAACCTAAGTTTTCTTCAGCAGTTCTGGGATACCCCGAGCTGTTGGTTCCTCCTGCAACTGTCCATCCATGGAGACCAGATCCAGGGGCATCATCACAAAGACCTGACCAATGGTCCGTTTTTGGCCCTGGACAGGAAAAGTGGCGAATAATGGAGCTATAAATAGGAGTCAATTCAATTTTTCATTGAGATTCCATCTGATGTTTGAGAATTTTTGAGAGAAACACCAAAAGACCTGATTTGTCTATGGGTTTTTGGATGTGTGAGGGATATGAGTGGCTATGGTTTTTTGATGTTATTTTGGGGGGTCACCAACTTCAGGTCTCCACCTCCACATGGTGCTGGTTGAAACAGCGCGGCGTCTCGGTCGCCACGGCCTCCGGCCGGGGATACCTGGAACCCAAATGACCATATTGTTCTGATGAAAAGTGGATAAACTATGTGTTGATTTGTTGATACCAGGAACCCAAACTGTTGTTATGTTGATTTCTTGTGTGCTCTTTCTTCTTTGTTCAGTGTTTGTTCTATAGATACCCCATTATTGATTTCTATGGCTGTGCTTCAAAACCCAGCCTTGTGAATAGCAAAAACAGAATTATCCACGTTGGGATGTCCGTCACGTCTTGGATGTTTCATGACATACAGCCATGTTGACTTGGAAACCCCCCAAAAAAAACCTCCTGCCATCTCTAGATAATTCCGGTTGGCTTCTCCCATGGGTTTTAAGCTCAGGATAACAAAAATGGGATATTCTGAAAGGGGAACATCCACTGCCTGGATAAATCATGATACCCTCTGGTAATTTAACATAGCTATTGAAAATGGCCATTTATAGTGGATTTTCCCATTCAAAATGGTGATTTTCCATAGCTATGTTAGTTCACCAGAGGGTAAATTTTCAAGAAAACTTCGGCCATTTGAGGATAGAAAAATCTGAGATCCTGACCATCATTCCAGTCACTGTAGTTCACCCTTGGGTGATTCTTGGTGTTGCTTACACCCCCGTACATCCATATCCCCATCGATATCCCACGTAATATACTCTAACTATTTAAGCTTGGTCCAATCCCAAATCCATCCAAATCCATCCAAATCCTAGAAATTCCCATGATATATCCCAAATCCTATATTCCCATGATATTCGCATGATATCCACATTGCATCCACATGATCTTCCCAATCTGAATTGACATGCCTATGACATGCCCGGGGCACCATGGGCACCTCAGTTCCCGCCAGGAAGGCGCAGTTCTGGCTTTGGCGGTCATAGGACACGCCTTCCACAGGGCTGCTCCATTTCAGGGTCAAAATTCAATTAAGACCCTTATATAATTAGTAAAAACCCTAGATATATTATGATGATAGATAGATGTCAATCTATATGATCTACATCATTACATCCTCAATCCTAGATATTTCTAGTACAAGTATCATGATGTATACTGATGTAGATCATATATAGACCCATATCGGTTTCCAATCTGTGGTAATTGTGCTTCAAAACGCTTTGGACTCAAAGCGAAAGCAATTTTAGAGCTTTGGAGAGCCACAGTGCGGAGGGGTTTCCAATCCGATCAAGGACCTCATAGGTGTCCTGTCTATTTACTCTGATCATTACAAAAGATAAAATTCTCCCGGAAAGATACTTATGATAATGAGTGATAATGTGGATGATGAGGATGGGAATGAGAATGTTGCGGACGATGATGTTGAGGATGATAATGTTGCGGAAGATGAGGTGGAGGAGGGTGATGTTGCGGAAGATGAGGTGGAGGATGATGATGTGAAGGATGATGGTGTTGAGGAGGACGAGGATGAGGATGATAATGTGGAAGATGAAGTTGAGGATGATAAGGTGGAGGATGAAGATGTTGAGAAGGACGAAGATGATGATGTCGACGATGACATGGTTGAGGAGGATGATAAAACGGATGATAATGTTGCGGAAGATGAGGTGGAGGAGGATGATGTTGCGGAAGATGAGGTGGAGGATGATGATGATGATGTTGATGATGATAATGTCAAGGGGGAGGAAAATGATGATGTTGAGAATGATGACCTTGAGGAGGAGGAAGATGATGGTGTTGAGGATGATGAGGTGTAGGGTGATGAGGTTGAGGATGATGAGGTGTAGGATGGTAATGTTTAGGATGATGATGTCAAGGGGGAGGAAGAGGATGATGTTGAGAATGGTGATGTCGAGGAGGAGGAAGAGGATGATACTGAGGATGCTGATGCGGGGGAGGAGGGCCGATCCCAAGACCGCGCCGCGCGTTTTGTGCGAGCCTGCACAGCCAAAAGTTACGTGGACATTTCACAAGAGCCACTTTGTTTCGAATTTTACAGGAAAAGTACCCGAGCCCAGAACCTAGGCACACACTTTGTGCGAGCCTGCGCAGTCGAAATGCACTTGGACATTTCACAAAAGCCACTTTGTGAAAATTTACACAGAAAAAGTGCCCGAGCCCAGAACCTAGGCGCACACTTTGTGCGAGCCTGCACGGTCGAAATGCAAGTCAGCATTTCAAGAGCCACTTTATACGGAAATTTACAGGAAAAATGCCGCGGCCCAGCTGGAGCAGCGTGATCAAGCACCGACCTTTACTCTTACCGTAAGAACCCCTCAGTGTGGACACACTGTTTGGGGGGAAAAAAGTCTATCTTGTAGAAACAAATCAGTATACATACCCTCCGCTAATCAAACCTGGCAATGAGAAATCCCCTTTAAATGAAAGTTTTAATTAGAAAAACATCTATAAATATGGTTGATTTTCCACTGCAATGTATACTACTGTAATTACCGAAGGGTACAGAAACAAGCAGCAGCCACTTCCCAGGATGACAACCGAGGCTTGCGCACCCTGGCATGCAGGCAGGGCTTCACAGCGCCTTTTGCACTGCTCCACATTGGAAGCCGTCTGCCTAACATCAAGGGAGCTATTGCAGAGGTTCAGACCCTTGGAATTCTTGGGTGGAATCTCAGGTTGACTATGGTTCAAAATTGAGGAGTAATGTTGTTGGATTGTAGAGGGACTTGTTGGATTTTGCTCATTTTGAGGACTAAACAGCCAACCTCGAGCTGGAAGCCCAGGTCGTGTTCTGTGGAGGATCCCAAGCGACATGTGGCGACATGTGTCCTTTTTCGCTCCCAGACATACAGTATTTGCTACGCACCGGAACAGCCGGGGCAAAGTCGCCCAATACATGGCCCATGGCCCTAGCGTCAAAACTAAAACTAGGCTTTGCAGGAACAGCATATATTCACGTATATGTTTTATGTGTATATATATATGTACAGTGTATATATATATATATGTCATAATATGTACAGTATATAATGTGTGTATTTATATATATATATATATAATATCATACAAAATGAATATACACACTCCAGCCAGATCCAGATCCCGCCTCTTGAAAGCTGTGCCCGGGCAGGTACCATTCACACCTTCAGATGGCGACTCTCGGCTGTGAACCCCCACTTTTTATAGCTGAGAGTCCCCAAGAAATGAAAACAACATTAGAAAATGACTGTATATGAAAGCATATACTGATATATCCTATATATACTGCTATATATATATACGTATACTGTATATATATATATACATATATATATATATACATATAACTATAACTAATTATGTATATATACATATACATATATATATATATACATATATAATTAGTTTTAGTTATATAATGTTATATATATATGATTATATAATTAAATGTGTAATATTTTGTCGTCCCTTCCGCTAGAAATGAACCACGGAAGGCTATGAACAGGAATAGGATAAGGCCAAGAATAATGTGGCTAACCGTTGGCAAATCCCTGTCTATTTTTGCACCTCAAATCAAAGGCTGGTACTGGAACTGTTTATTTAAAGGGTCCCCAGGTCCCCAAAATCTGTCTCAAATTCTTGGACACATTGACTGATGGAGAGCAGTGGGTGTGTTCGCAATTAGATACCTCCAAAATCCCATGGTTAATCAGCATATTCACCACAAAATTGTCGTTTGGGGCGTGTTACCCCATCTTTAGATAAAACCAAAGTGGAATCAAACAAGATGGTGGAACTTATGTTAGAACGGGCTATCTCGAGCTGAGCTGACGGTCTCTTCCTATGTAAAGAGGAAGCAGAAAAGGGTGTTCCTAGTTGAAAAAACTACTTGCAGCTTCCCAGCCGCTTTTGGTTTGTGAGCTACAAAATGGATCATTCAAAGGGATAGGTTACGGAGATGACATTGCACTAAAAAAGAAGCAGCTGCGGTGGTGGCTCTTGCTAGGAATTGACATTCGTCATGAGCTTCCAAGAACTATCATAGTACAGTATTGCATACTTTACCTCCACCATGCTCCAGCCCTTGAGATTTACATCGGACCTCGCCATCTGTCCGCGTTTGCCAACCACAAAAGCCTCAGCTACAACTTGGGACAAGCCTTGTGGACAAAATCTTCATGATTCTTCAAGGGATATAGAACTTTCTTGGGGCAAGTGCTCCCATGTTGAATCATAGATGATACTTCCGCTTCTTGAACCATAATCAGATTGTTCATCATATATGATTATCTCACTTATTAAAAGCCTACGATTACATAGGTTTTTTTTACCCCCATAACTTGGGATACCAAGCCCTGTAATTATGGCCACATCTCCACCGATTTGGAACCCTCCACAGCGGTTTATCCCACTTCCGGTCTGGGAGCTGCTTTCCTTAATTCTCCGATGGTTTTTTAATCGATCTTGCTGGTGGTACATTTGACATTGGCCTAATGTTAGTTCAAAATTATAGAAATTGAATCTAATTTAGAAGTAATTCAGATTCAATTTGAAAAAACGGTAGGTTTCAATTGAGAATGAATCTAAATTTCAATTCAAAGGTTACCTTGGAATTTGAAATTGCTAGATTGAATCTAAAATTAAGTCAAACTTGATTTAACATTAATTTGGAATCAATTTAGACGTAATGTGACATAAGCTAAACGAAATTTGAAAACTTATATATATATATATTTAGATCTATATAATTTGAAATTAATGTGCCATTGATTTTTGAAATTCATGTAAACTCACATTAAGATAAATTTGGATGTAATTTACCAAGTCATTTAGAATGAATTTGAAATTGATGTCAACAACTTATTTAAAAATGGTTTTACACGAAAATTAGTTTGGAATTACATAATTTGGACTTGGTTTAAATGTGATTTGATAATTGACTTAGATTTGATGTCAAAATAATTTCAGTTCAATGAGAAAATGATTTAGATTTTATTGAAACATGATCTGGATTTGGTTGTCCAAATCTAAGTCAAAATCAACTTTGATTGAATTTGGATTTTGTATGATTTTGTTGAAGTTTGAATGTACATTAGTGTACATTCAATTGAAAAACACTTTGGATTTCAGAATTGAAGCATTTTTGTTTTTAACAAAATCAATTTAAATTCAAATTCGATTTGACTAGGTTTAAGAAAACAACATTGATTTCAGTCAATCTAAACTTGCTTTTAAAATGGTAAGTAAGAAGCCAAAAGCCAAACTAAAAGCAAAGCTGACAAATAATAAGAATAATAACATTCCCAAAACAACATTGAGATCAGTAACATCCCGAGTAAAATATTAGGTTCCTTTTCAACATCCCAGATGAGAAAATCAAATCAAGATTGGTAATCCCGTGCCTGGAACTGTTACCTACTATGATTAGAAGATAGACTGGTTGGTGGTTTTAACCATCTTGAAAAATATGAAAGTCAGTTGGGAAGATTATTCCCATATACATAGAAAAATAAGAAATGTTTGAAACCACCAATCAGACAATTCAACGGATAATGAACACACTTTCGTTCGGATCACCCAACAACCAAGCGGCAGCAACGAAACGCACCAGCGCATCATTGCAATATGACGGGAATTCACTGGCTGTTGCAATACCTCGACGACCAGTTGCGGCCCAAATTAAAAGATATTAAAAGCTTAAGTCTGGGAAAAAAACGGCATTTGATCATGCCTGCTCGCTTTGGACCAGGTTATTTTATGTTATTGTTTGAATATCTTAGTGCCAAAACTCTCGGGTTCTCGTGTTGTATATGTTTGAGCACCCCGTGGACCACGGATTTCACAGATGCTGTCAGCCTAGCAGTGTGAGAGCCATGAGACCAGCAGGTCCACTGGAAACGATCAGCGTTCATACTGTGGATGGTTGCGAAATCCTGCACCACCTTGGATGGTTGAAACATGTTGAAACCCTATAAATAATGGGATAAACCATCTATCAGCTGGTGCAGGATTTCGCAACCATTTTCTTCCATCTACCTCAGCGATGCAGGCCGGAAACCATGGACTGCAAGTCAAAGCGATTCAGTGGCTGCATTTGGCATGGCGTGATGCGGCTCAAAATGAATTATCTGCAAAAATTGGATGGTTTAGTCCGAAGAATATACATAGGGTGTTCTTATTATTGATGTACTCTAAAACCATCGGCTTCAAAATGACCCATAAGCTGGACGATTTTGGGGTATTCCTCCATTTTAAGAATCCCAATCACAAAGTATATTTACATATCTATTTGACGAGAAAGAGCGACTCTGCGGTTTTGCTGGTAACCCATGCTGCTTTTTGCCCAATGCACAAAGCGATGCTCCGACTCTTCGAATTGCCCGACCGTCGCTCTCAAAGCATCCGCGACGTGGCTTCAACTTTCCACACTCTGAACGGCACCCATCTGCATGTGCGCCAACCAACGATGCTGTTGTTTTAAATGTTTTTGTTGTTGGCAACCAAGCAGTCTCAACCAGTGATTCTAATTAGTTACATATTTTAGAGATAGCAATTTCCGAAGCCGCAGAGATTGAATCCAAAGAAGCCACAGGACCCAAACGGAGGTCTCGTCAACCGCTGTAGATGCCTGAAACCTGTGAGGCAAACGTGACCAATGCTGTACCCCAAATGCACCATGCGGAAGGCTGACTTCAATGGGATGGGGGAAAATAAACATTTTTGTTGTTATATGTAATTATATATATAGCCAATATATGTACATATTTATAATATGTATGTATGTATATATATATATATATATATTTGTATGTATGTATGATATATATATATATTATGTAAAGATATGTGCATCTTTCTAGGATTTTCGAGCTAAATACTACCCGATTCTGCCACCATTAAGGCTTTGTTCCACCCAAATCCCGAAGTTCTTCGCCTCTGTCTTCAGCTTCTTGCCAACCTCAGCGGTCCAAACAGGGCCCATCCCCAGGGGTAACTAAAAAGCAGAAAAGCAATGGAAGGTCCAAAGAAAAAGGTAGAAAATAAAACTGTCCCGAACAAAATTCCCTTGAAAAAAAAGTCGGATTCTAGATGATTATAGATACACCAGAATTCTCGAATCAAATGTTGAATGAATCAAACCAGATGTTATCTAAAAAATTACAATCCTCCAACGGTAAGACCATAAAGGCCATCTCCGTTCGAAGCTCTCAGGTGGTCACCACTCTGGATACGAACTGCTCAGGGATTGCAATCTCGATCAGATCCCCATCCTGTCGCATGGGCTAAAATGGGCTGACTGTCTCGGGGAAAGATCCATCGAATTCCCTTGGTTTCAATGATCCTCATGAACATGATTGAAAATAGCCATCGCTGGTGGGGATACTAACATATACTAACCATTACTGGCTCACCCAAATTTGGATGGTTCAAAAGGTCAATGTTCATCAATGTTCTTATTGAAATGGCACCGTTAAAATTAGAGTAACCCCCGGGATGATGTTTCTAAGTTGGAAAAACAGAGTAACATGTTGGACAAAATATCTTTTTGATGGTTACTATATATATATAGAGATAGATAGAAATAATAGAAACATCTGCGGGATAATCAGGGCCAATTATATTATATTACATATTACAATCAATTTTTCCGCATGTCACTTGTGAGTTGAGGACAAGTTCCCTTGCAAATGCCTCTATACTAGAACACAGTTCAGAACACAACACAAGTGAAAGAAAAAACATAAGCTGAGCTTGGACCTACGATCCAGATCAATGTCTTGACTTTACAACTTCCATGCTGCCCTGTTTCAGAACAAGGACCCGACATTCCCGAACTGATTCTTGTATATATTGCTGGTTACGTTCAATCCCCATTCTATCCCCATTTCAAAAGGTGAAATCAACTTAAATCATCTTAAATCCCCCGCTTTCTTTGGAAGTCCAGTGGACCGTTTCCCCCCCAAAAAAAAACTCGCCGTCGCCGTCGCCTCCTCCTTGCCGTCGGGATCAGGAATGGTGACCTCAGGGCGGAGGCTCATGGCGGTGTCCATGAAGGATCTAGCTGTAAACGTGGGGGATCAAGCATAAAAAAACAAAGCAAAAACTGGCTGGATCTCATAGTTGTTTTTTGCGACAACTTGATATATATATATATGTATATGTATATATATATATGTATATATACATATATATGCATATATATATATGTGTGATATGTATATATATATGTGATATATATATATGTGATATATATATATATATGATATATATGATATATGTGTGCGTGTGTCTGGGAATGGGGATTCACACCCAAAATTACTGCGTTTTCATTGGGAAAATGATGATTAGCCAGTGAATTTTAATGGGAGGTACCCTATTTCAGGAAGAATCAAACATATGCACCATGCACACACCAGAAACTACCTGAACAAGCTGCTTTTCTTGCCACAGCTATACAGAAAAAATAAGTTGTTAGCCAGATATGAACCTGCATAATCCTGCATAGACTAATGACTAATGTAGGCACGATTAATAGACTTATCGACGAGGTCAACTGTCTGGAAAGTAGTCCAGCGGAATCCAATAACGATATTCTACATTTCTTGATGGAAAATCTACGAACATCATGCACAATCTGAAGCACCCCAGGCCAACATTTGTAGCACCGTCTGGCAAACATGGCACTGGGACATTGCCCCTTTTGAATCTGATCATTGTTGACAGGAAAACCGTTTTTACCCCCTGGTAATTCAACATTGCTATGGAAAATGACCCATTTATAGATGATTTACCTTTTAAGAATGGTGATGTCCCATACTATCCCATACCAAACTCTGAAATTACCACAAGCTAAATTGATATTCCTATGGAGATTGCCAGGTGACAATTCTCCATTTATTGGGCAATTCCCTCCACGATAGCAAAAAGTGGGACTCACCGGAGTCAGGGCTCACACGTTCATCTCGGAAGATTTGGAGGCCGTAATTTCTGCATTTACGGACGCCTCCGTGGGAGCTGGTGGATGATTTAGGTGTTGCCATGTTCCGAAATGTGTTTGAACTCCGCCAAATCACCACATCCTGTGGATCACCATCCAGATGTTCGAAAATCAAAGATGTTTGAAACCAACCAGAGGCCAAGGGATGCTCACATCATGTAGTTACTGTATACGCATAGCTGGTTATATTGCTTATACCCCATTGATATCGTCATGGTTTCTAGGGATTCTAGGGGGTGTTGAATCCGAACGGGGGATGATACTACATGATATTTTGTTCATAATAAACCACCTATAACGATATGATCATTCGAAACCATCATATCATAATTCATCACACATAATAAAGAAATTATAAACTATGATTAAATGATATATATATATATCTTACAATGTACATAGTTCTTACCTATCTTATATTCAATAACCAACTAGAATGAGATAAGCCCATGCCTTCCCCCGACACCGACCCCCAAAACCTTGGACAACCAAACGTTCACGCCATCGCACTTGTCAATGGCCACCGCCACCACCTGGTGGACCCACGAAACCCGGGGAAGATCCAAGGGGAAATTGAAAAATGGATTAATGTGAATTACTTGGTATGTAATGTATATGCATTATACACAAAATACGTATTATACACATATACACATTATACAGATTATACATGTTATACGTATTATACGTATTATACGTAAAAACGTGTATATATATATGTAATTGATTTATTATGTACATATATATATATGATTACATTGCTTGCATAGAATCATATATATATAATCAAAACACAATATACACAATCAAAACACAATTCCGAAGTGTATACAATATGTAATGTGTACATTACTCTACACACACTTGGAAAATTGTACTTGGCACATGATCCATACAACACGTATGTAGTTCAAAAAATTATGGTATTGGTGAGGTAGGCACAAGAGTGAGTATATCCCTACCAAACAATCAGGTGCAGTTGGAAACATGGAGTCTTCCACGATACTTTCGGTGAATGTTGTAGTCGTATGCAATGTGAATATGCAACACGCTACGATTCAAGGGAATCCTACGTGCAACATTCATGAGGACTTCCACTCAGTTCTACTCACATTCATGGTAGGGTTTATCTGAAAATATGGTACCTCTAAAATCCACTAACAATCATTTTCCCTATCAAAAACCATGCCATTTTCCACTGGTATACCCCATTTTCAGACAGACAAAAGCGTGGACAACACGCTTTGTCCTTACTAAATTTCCATGAAAAGCTATATGCAACATCACCCCTACCCCTACTGTAAGTATTTGGAATGCACGTCTACACATATTACATATATATATATAATAGTACAATCTTCTTCATTCTTAATCGTATATAACTTTATATATATATAGAGATATGTGTAGATAACCCATAATGCAAATTTAATTTGCTAATGCAATTTGCAGAACCTTTCCAGCACACTTGATTTCAAGACAGGAACCACTTTGCCGTTTTCCGCCTTGCCAAGGGCTTGCATCTGGCATCGGTCACAATTCACCAGCTCAACGGCCTTGGTTTAACTTGGTTTTGGAGAAACCTGCAGCTAATGTGTTATATATATACACACCTGCACGTGAGATCATGTGGGTATTAGTTACATTTAATTACTATGTGTCAATATTACTCCATGTAGATGTGTCTGTGTCTATGTACATGTGTGTGTGTGTCAATGGAAGTATATGGCACCGTAAACCAACTAGTATGGAAGTGTGAAAATATAACGGTGTATTTCAGATCTTTCTGGTGGTTGGATTTAATGATGTGAAATCGCTCGTTGGCAAAAGTCCAAATTTGATTCCGATTGCTTTGACATGTCATGAACGCAAACTTGTTCCAACAGCTCTTTTTCCCAAGAGATGAACCGGCCATCCCTAGTCATAAATCCTATTTCTTTGGGGATCCCAGTGAAGCCCATGTTGCGTCAAGCAAAGGATGAACCCACAATAACCCACATTTGATTTCACCCATGAAAGCCTACCATGGAAAGAATGATGTTGAAGGGCTCCGAACCGCAACTCCAGGGTCCCATTCCATCTGTCTCTGGAATTGTGGGGCCTTTCGCTGAACTTCCATGATGCATCGGCAATCTGTTCGGAATTCGCCAGCTGGAAACATAGGCAAGTGTACATTGCTGTTCTCCGTCTTTGGGACGAAGATGCGCAGCATTTAATGGTGATATTTCGTTCATGTACTAATCATTGCATCCTTGAGGGATGTTCAACTTGATGTTACTTGCGGTTTGATGATGATGTCCCCCTTGTGATGGCCCAAAAAAGCACCCAGGATCGGACGGAGATGACATCTTGGCACAGAACGTTCACCTGGCGACGACTTTCAGACTATAGCTCAATTTTTCTAGTTCTTACAAGAGGATCAAGAGGGCCATTGGGAAGTCCGGACATTTTACAGAGGCATCGTTTATTCATCTCAGTTGCTTGTAGACCGTATCCCTCCAGCCATGTTTGGCGTACGCGGGTGATCTCCTAGCCAAAAATGCATTCCCTCCACTGCCAAAAATCATCGTTGCTGCGTACTGGTCATGTAACTGTCGGACATGCCTAACAACACAAAATATGCAGATGTCTGATGATGTCTGATGATGATGATGATGATGATGATGGTGGTGGTGGTGGTGGTGGTGGTGGTGGTGATAATGGATGGAAGGAGGTGGATTGGGACTCACTATTATATATATAACTACCATTACAGTAACTACCTAACATCGCTTGCTTTACCTTTCCGTCATCCACGTTCCAAGCTCGTTCCGTTCCTTCATGCACTACAGTAAATGTTGCAAGTATAGTTATCAAAAAAGAACCAGATGCCGAACCAAACCTCATAAATGCGAAGCGCACGCTTCGGTCTGCACCGTCCTCGTTCATCACAGGGTACAGTATTCCTTGAAAAATGATGAAGTATATTGAAGAATCACAGGATTGGGAGACTCAACTGTAGTAGCTCCTTGGCCCCTTGGCTCCAATTTTGGGAGGACAAAACCGCTCCAAAAGACAGCTCCGGCCTTCTCACAACTGTCGACACAAATGGATTTCACCTCCAGGTGCTCCGTGGTTCAAAAAATGGTAGGTTGATCTTTGACGATAACTATAGATAAATATAATATATAGATAACTAATGATAAGTATATAATGGGACCTACCATCTATGGTTATATAATGGTGGTTTATCTACAGATAAATATGGGAACCTATTTGAAATATCGATAGTTATGAACCATGATAGTTATGAACCATGATCAAAAATAACTATGATAACTATAGATAAATATGATAAATATGGGAAGTTCACAGAGAACGAGATGCTGATGCTGATTCCGTTGCTTCATTCTGCTGAAGTACTTCTCCTGTTCAATTGCTCTTCAAGCCACAACATCAGGCCACATGACAATTCTGTGATTACATCACCATATCCACAATTGTTCAATGAATCCCAAACGGATGACGCTTTCAAATGGGAAAAACGAATAAAAATGATAGGAAATTCATGGAAATTCCTCTTCCAGGGCGTCAGGTCATGTTCCCACCTTGTTGGGGATGTGCACCGTGGTGTTGCGGCAGTTCAGAATCACCACCAGTTGCTTCATCTCAGCCTCAAACGTTCACGGTTTCACGGCGGTTGGCAGCTTCATCCCTGCCTTTTGGTGCATAACTCCTGCACATCCCAACACTTGGGGGTGGCTATAGCAAAAATAGTGTTGGTCATGTCACCAGTACATAGTCGCAAAAACACGGACAGTTGAAACATTGTACCCTGTCATTGTTGATACAATCCATGTCCAATTGTGGATCTCCACTTCTTGGTGTTTTCGGTATGTGTGTATGTTTCACGCACAACCTCTGTATATAGATTCATAGTCTTGTTTCTACTGGTGACACCTTCCTGTTGATTTGCCATATACGATCATCTTACAGCCTTCAGAAACCCTGGTTCAATCCTTCATATCTTCATTTTGCGGCCCAGCTGAGGCAATTAGGGGTTGGGACTATCATCCAATTTGTGATATTTATGTTTGGTATCGAGTATACTGAGTTCATATATGTTCATATCATTTCATCCACTAATTTCTGGCATATGATCAGTTCTATGTTCTAGTTTATTATATATATATATATATTATATAGCATATATATTATCGTATATAAAATAGGATCTATCATATGTATGTGTATATATATATGTATATATATATGATATATCATATATATATATCATATATGCTCTTTAGTTATTCAACATAACCCTGCAAATTGCCAAGGATTGGTGGAACTCATCTTCCAGACCCCCAAGTCATGGCGTCAAAAATCACCCAACTGGCCAGGGGAGCCCTGCATCGTCCATGACCTCAGTCGGGCAGAAAAAAATGAAATTTGGACATTTGGAATTAACATGATTAATGGGATTTTATAGGGATTTTATAGGGATTTTATAGGGACTTAATGGGATTTTTTAGGGATTTTATAGGGATTTAATGGGATATGAATGGGATATCCATCTGGTTATGACTAACATAGCCATGGTATAGATGGCCCATAGAAATAGATGGTTTACCTATAAAAATGGGGATGTTCCATGGCTATGTTAAATAACCAGAGGCTAACTCACTAATGGAAACCTCTGTTCTTGGATGTTTGGGCAACTAACGCTGATCAGTTGAAACGAAGACCCCAAACCTCTGATTCGAGGGACCACTCGCTCACCATCGTAGTTCTCCACCATCCAATTGATATCTTTCTGAAGCTCCTGGGTGGACGGTTCACCATGGACAGCATCCAGATGTGGCAAATCATGGATGTTCTGTCGAAACATCGACATTTGGTAGTGGGACTCTCTTGTCACATGCTGAGCTTGAGAATCTGGATATATCTGGATCATGCAGCAAATCACCGAAATAGTACACAGACCCCATACCCGTTGGTATCAATATCATTCATGGATGCATCAGAATGGATCCCGAAACTTTGCAAATCATCAACACAACTACGTATAGCCAACCATGAAATCCGAAATCGGTAAACTTTCCAATTCTTCGCTTTTTCGTTTTCGGGCTGACCTTGGCCTCTCTACGGTTTGGCACCGCGCCTTCTTGGGTTCTCCTTTGGGTCCCCGCTTGCTGAAGGCGCTCTTGGATGGACCAGCCGCCTGGATTACATCACCACATGGCTGTCAGTTCAACCAGGTATTCTATGGTATTCTGCTGTTCACAGCGAAATGGCTGGGATTTATGAATGTTTATCCCCACAATACCTATGGTGTTCTTGGCAAACGTATACAGTATGCAGCAAAATGATCAGTGGAGGAGTAAGGCTTTGTCTGGCCACAACTCCTGGACTCCACACCTTGGGTGCGGCTTTGATCACTTGGCTTTCCTCCTGATGTCAACAGTCGCCATGGACTTTAGAGTGGTTCAATGGATGGTGGGATTCTATTTATTGTTTTTGAATGTCTTTAATGTGTTGGATTTAGTCATACATTATCCAGCAATGTATATATAATATACATATACATATGTATAATATAGTGATATATAGTGATCTGATATGGATACATCAGCATCTTTCAATGGTTGACTTTGGTAATTGAACCGCAATTGCCCCAAAAAGATGAGTGAACCATGGAAATCGCCTTCCCCGAGTCGGGCGGCTCTGGACCATGATATGATGATCCCAAAATAGCTGGGATTTCTGGATGTTCACCCAAAACATGGTAGAACAGGTCTTGATCCATATTCTTGGAACAAATGAATTTTGCATCCAGCTATCAATGCTACCACTTTGAACCCAAGAGTCTTGGCCATGGTTGAAGGGAAAATGTACTCTACAGCAAACCCCTGTAGTTTGGGGCTAAAAACCACGTGTCCGGGAGCCAGATCGGCACCTGAAAATCCGAGAAGTGATGTCCTACAGCATCTGAGTTCGTTTCAAAATATGGGTTCCCAAAATGTTTAATGGTTTGTTCTTCATTTTCCCCATTGAAACGGCTATTCTGGGATACACATGGATACACCGCATCTTTAGACAGGCCCATTTCAAAAAAAAAACTCCTTTGGCTGGTTCTTGGTCTTCATGTCATCTGTGACCTGTTGGGCACGCGCTCACGCGCTGGATCCAGCAGCCTCCGCCCGATGATCCCCGATGCACGAGATTTCATGATATGATATGGTGCATTAGATCTATCTAGTAGATTATAGCATATCAATCTGGGTAGTTATTTGTCAATGTTTATCCCATATAATCAATTCATCATCATATATATATATATATAGTCATATATTTATTTATATACAGTATTAATATATATATAGTCATTGAAATCATGAAGTAAATCCTTCCCAAAGTCTCGTGACTCGCCAGGCGAGAGGCGGCTTTTTTCCATCACGGTCCAACCACTTTTGCGGTTCGAATTCCATGGCCCCCATGGAAAGGTATGGGGTCAGGGTTCCTAGGGGGTGATCTGTAAAAATCCCTAGGAAATGAAGACCGAGAGCTTGGAATACGTACCTTGGATTTACATGGATTTCTAGGAATCTAGCGCAGGTCAGTTCGAATCTATCAGTGACGTGTGTTTAACTCATGTAAAATTAAATATCACATCGATTTGTTGCGACATCTCATTTTTTAAATCTGTGGAAATGGTCCCAATATGTCCCAACCACTGCAGGGGATGTTTGAAGCCTTCACTGATCCATCGCATGCATGCATGCATGCATGTATGCATACATGCATGCATGCATGTATGTAGGTATGTAGGTATGCATGGATGTATGCATGGATGTATGCATGGATGCATGCATGGATGCATGCGCATGGATGTATGCATGGATGTATGCATGGATGTATGCATGGGTGTATGCATGGATGTATGCATGGGTGTATGTATGTATGTATGTATGTATGCATGGATGTATGCATGGATGTATGCATGGATGCATGCATGGATGCATGCGCATGGATGTATGCATGGATGTATGCATGGATGTATGCATGGGTGTATGCATGGATGTATGCATGGGTGTATGTATGTATGTATGTATGTATGCATGCATATTCAGACATGTATATATATATATATACATATAATTATATATATATATACACATACATTACATTACAATGCATTGCATTTCATTAGATTACATTACATTACATACATACTACTATGTGTATATATATATATTATGAATATGTCGTATCCATAGTAGCAGCTGAAACTTATTGCCCACTTACAGAGGACGAACATGGGGCCATGGGATGTGAGCCTTGCCGGCTGCAACTGCCATTAATTGCACTGTCCGACCTTGTCACAATGCCGCGGCGACCAGCTATTTTAGTCCTATTGAAGACAGATCTCAGTTGGTGGCTGCCTTTTCCGCTTTGATATATAGAAGTATAGTATCCATTTGATTTTGAAATAGGCCGATTTGAGCCGTTCTTTTGTGAAACATCTTCTAGAAGCTGCTTCTGCATCTTCATGCTACATGATTAGCTCTCAAAATCGCCAACGGATGACACGCTTGGATCTTCTTGGAGACAAACATCGATGAGAGAAACCCTCCTGTCCATGGGTTCAGAAACATTGCCAATCTTAGATACCCTGCAAAAAATAAAATTATTTGCTGGTTTGTAGATATTCCCATTAATACCAAAAGACTAAAGCATTAAAGTATCCATGTAAGATTGAGCTAGGAAATGAAAATGAATGGAAACGACTCTGGAAACTGGAAACTCAGAATTTCCTGATGAAGAGAAGTTATTCTCGCACGTACCTTGCGTCCAGACCCCATCGAAACTGCTGTCTTCTCATCGCAAACCAAAAACAGGTACAGGTACTGTAATGGGCATTTACCCACCTGGCCAAGGGCAGCGCGGCTGTGCGTAGTCCAAGCTGACATCATTCACTGGGGGAAGGAACGTTTTTACAGAGACACCAAATAGAAGCCACGTTTCCTGGTTGGTTTTATATGGGGTTTATATGGGGTTTGTATGGATAATTATATGGATTCTATATGGTTTTCCAAATAACAATCTCAAGACCCAACATAAAAAATGGAGGCTTCCCACTTCTGTCGGTCTACGATGCTCTCCAACTGACCATCTTTTTTGGCGTCTCTGACTGTGATTCACCCAGCCATTGCATGCTGTGGCAGCACGTCATCCTTTGTACGCGCATGCAGCACCATGTGGCCAAGGGGTCGGGGCCTTCATGTGGCAAATGGAGTGTCATCCCGAAATATGCTAGGAACATCACTGGTTGGTGGTTGACCTACCCCTCTGAAAAATATGAGTTCGTCAATGGGAAGGATGGGAATCCCATGTATTATGGAAAATAAAAATGTTCCAAACCACCAACCAGATCAGTTTCCATCTTTATCTGAGGAATGCGGCCCTGTTCTTGCCCCCTAACCCATCGAAGCCAGTTCCACGGGATTTGGTGAAACGTCCACGGCCATCCACCGGAGGGTTCCCACTGGTTTCATCGACGTGCTTTGGAGCTCGAACTACCAGAACTACGGAACCAAATGCCAGCAGGAAGCAAATGCTTTTGGAAAATACACTTTGGTTTCAAGGCCTTGGGGTTCATCGTGTAATTATTCCCACAACTGCTTTCTTGTAGCTACTGAGTGCATGTAAGAGTCCAATAAACACCTGTCTACTTTGCCTTCTACATATACTTGAGAGCAGGCAGAGGCGGACGAAAGGTAGTGTAGTGCGAGAGGAGTGGTGTCAAAATGCTGCGCCCCTAAGATGATACACCAAAAACGTTTTTGCGCAGTCTAAGATGATTTTATCCAGAGCATGACTGCATGATACGGTGTCTTGTGCAGCGTGAAATGATGCACGAAAAGGGGTTTATTTAAAACCCCTTTTTAAGACCCCTTGCAGCATCTGTTATGGAGGCTGAAGCATACCAATTGTGCTGGACTACAGGGACATCTCCCTCATGGAAAGTGTGCCTCTAATGTGGGGGCCCGTGACCGCGTCACCCGTGGGAATTGAACCCATGACCATTTTCGGGGGGGGGGCTGAAGAGGGGCCCTAGCGTCTACTTCAAGATCAGCTAAGGCGTCTTCCCCAATGACAGCACTCTTTTACTCTCAGCCTGTTGCCGGTCAGTGCTTGTCTACAGGGTTACTCTATATACCTCTTTCTTGAGCCTTGAGGGGCGCATATAAATGTGCTCAATACTCATGCATGTACCTATGTAGGTATTAGGTCGAAACAAAAACACAGGCACAAATTCAAAAGCAATGAGTAGAGCACTACGCCTTGCCGTACCCAATTGGTATTACCGTACCCAATTGGTATTAAGAGTATCTTCCTGACTTCTCTACACAATGGCAAATAGCAAAAGAAACCGGAGTTACGCAGTGGCTTCGAATTGAAAAACACGTGAAAGCAGCGAATGTCCTAAGGACATGTCGAAAAAGAACAGCGGATTCGCTAATTTTTCCAGTAGCGACCAATGGTGCTTCGCGCACGGTCTCTCCACAGGCAAAATGCCTCGCTCTACCGGTGAAAGTTCGAATTGAAAAGTTCGGGTTCGCAAGATTCAGAAATTCAGGTCATACAAAAACAATTGACCAAATCACGAAATAAACGGAAATAGCGGATCTCCAAGTTGCTCATTCAAGCAAACAATGGACTGAAATCGAAGTTGGTAAATTTTTGAAGTTCGCTCCATTCGGAGTGGTCTGCTCGCCGGATGATTCATGGAGATAAATGTATATAGTATCTCTATTTACAAGAGTCTCTATTTTACATTAAATTTAAGTTCAGACACTTGTGGCATTATCTCTATCTAAAAGAGTATATGCCATCTGTGTGAAATAAGTTGAACGCACAGAAAAACTGTACACGGCTTCTCATGCTGTGTTATCTTCAATTAAAGAAGTGTACACTCACTCATCGCCATTCACTTGATCTCCATGGTCTGGACGCTGAAGATGAGGATCCACCCCACTCTGTGTTGCCCTGATACGTCGATGCTTGATCTTCATATGCCTTTCTCTTTTTCTCCTTCTGTCTTTCCTTTCTTGAATCAGCATACTGCTTCTTCTTGTAGGCCTGTTTGTAATGATGTCGTTCATTCCATGACATATCAGAAGGATCAAGATGGATAAGAATTGGATTATGAGCATCGCGATCATTTGGAGCAACCATGAAGATGTTGTGATCACCATGTAAGCAAGTTTCATTTACCTTGAAGTAAAATTCACCCACATAGTTCATGTGATCTTCATCCTCAAAGTCTTCTGGGTGTTCCTCACACATCAAACGTGAATGACCCCACTCAACAACTGTTAACATACAACAATCACCTTTACCATTTGTCTTGTTCATGATCTCGTCGGTGTATGTTGCTGTTGTAATGCCATCCAAGTGCGTTGCAAGAAAATCCAAGTCACGATAACTGCAAGAAATAAAATGCTTGACCCTGATTGGAGGGCAAGTTGGATCAAAATTCTTGCGCATGGCTTGTGTTGCAACACCTACCATTCTGTTAATCCAGAATTGGATAAGGCTGTGTTGATATGTAGGGACACCTGGAGATTTTGGTGTGCTGTAATAGCATGCCTTGTTTCCATCACCTGCGATGAAGTCAACTTGATATCTGGCACACTCAAAAGCCATAACAGCTAAGCACTCACCAACAATCCCAGAAGAGTCTGATGCATACTTCTGTCCGACGTGATAAACGCACACACGTGTCATTCTCATCCTAGCTCTTGTCAAGTCAACAATCTCATCTGTATCTCGATCCTTTGTCTTTCCCCAAGATACTTCAAAGATTGCCCATGAGACTTGTCGAACTCGTGTGTCGTTGTCATCTGTGTGATATCCAGCAATTTGCTTGATATAGCCATCCTTTCCAAGGCGAGCTGCCACCATCAAGTCATGATAGTCATTGAAGCAAGTTTTAAAGTCAACCTCGTCGAGTCTTTCTCTGTGAGGATACAATGAACCAGCCTCGCAATTCATGAAAAGATGTCCTCCAAAGTTCTTGATGACATTGATGAAGTAATTGTTGAACTGTGATTTGGTTTCATCAAATTTTTCATGATCCTCATCGATAGTGTAGTC